TAGTTGATTTAGTGAAAGAAAACCATTAAATCAACCTTAAATTTAATCTTACCTACCTTATCAACCGCAAAGGATCTCACATTCCCTCAAGTATGATGTTCAAAGCGACTCTATATTGACACTGACGTATTGAAGTACTAAAGATGTCCAGTACAAAAAATCTATTGCTCAATCTCTGCTACAAAAATAACAAAACAATATAAAGTTTTAGTCACAGAAGCTGTGATGCTCGTACAACTGATGATATAAAAACTGCACTCTGTTTTTATTTGGGTAATTTAAAGCACTGTTCATCCTCTTCAACAGGGGCTCCTGTGATGGAAGCTGGTCATCTCGTCACTAAACCCACACAACTTGGACTTTTCTGGACATCTTGCAGTTCGACAACTCAAGCTGACTGATCTGCCAGCAGTAACTCACATCAACATACTTGAGTCTCTTACTTCGCTGCATTAAACCTTTCACAGTTGCCATCGTCACGTCGGTTCGCAGCAGGTCAACATGCCGCACCCGTCCGAGTGGCACAAGAGGTGAGCCTGTGGGATCTGCAAAACCGTGCAAGTCCATTATACGCAGCACATCGTGTAAAATGCAGTTCAGAGGGCATGGCAGGGAGACCAGCGACAGCTTCTCCAGTAAAGGAGAACCAGTCAGGAGACACTTGAGCACCTTCCTCAGGGACATCCAGGACATGGTGGGCTTCATTCGGCTGTGCTCATAGGAGAAACTTCAGGGAAACACACAACAGATGAAGAGGATCACTGTCACAGGCTTTTACTGTTGTTTGAATCTGCTGTATTCATCCAGTTGTACTGTCGCTGACCTGTTACAGGTTTTCAGACATTGCTTGAGTTTTCTCAAGTGAACCTGAAGCTGGATGCAGTCGGTCATGCAAAAAAAATATTTAAAACCAACTACAAATTATGTGATTTTGTCATTCAGTTCCTTAAGATGTAGATGCAACCTGAGAGATAAAGCTGACATTTTAAAATCAGTTATCAAATTAATAATCAGTAAGATTTTTTCTGTGTGGTCTCATGCTTTCCATTCCAAGCAGAGTATTTCTTTCTACCACATCTGGTTGGCTACATGTGCTATCTGTAATAAGAACAAATTACTGTGCAGGTCAGTGCTATGGAATCCAAACAACGGTCAACAGCTTGTAGTGTATTAACCAGTGTAGCTCAACAGTAGACTTACTTTAGTGTGAGAGAGCAGAGGTTAGGCAACTGTGGAAGATCCCCATCATCCCGTTGATCCTCCTCATCTTCCTCCTCCTGTGCTGTTGTAGGAGGCTCAGCGGAGATGAATAGCTCTTTGAGTCTAGGACAAGCCCTGATGACCTCCAGTAGTGGGCTGTGGGGGCTTGTTCTCACCCCCTCCACAGTGAGAGAGACCAGGGAGGAGCCTGCAACCTGCAAAGCAGGAAGAAGATCCACCAGAAGGCCTGGAAATTGTACTGAGAAGATCCGCAGCTGGTCTGACCAGGTCTGCAGACCTGCAGCTAACAGAGACCCCAGACTTCTATCTTGAGCATCTTCATAATTATCAATGTTTACAGATATGGAACAGATTCCCGGACATAGTTTGCCTAAACTGTCCAGACAGTCACAATTTATGCCTTTAACATCCTTCAGCTGCAGGATCAGGCCCGACTGTGGCAAAACTCTCTTTTTTTCCTCCTCTGTTCGGTTCTGAGAACAAGATGGCCCTTCGTCTCTACTTGTATCTTCTTCAGTCTCACTAGTGTATTCCTCCCATAACATCCTCTCCTCCTTCTCTTCTTCATCCTCCTCTTCTGTAACTGCTGCTGCTCTTTCCCTCTTCTTCCTCCAACTCTCACTGCCCTGCTCATTTCTCCTATCCTTCCACACCTCCTCCAGCCCGTGAACTCCTTCCCTGTTAGTAAACTCATCCGTCCGGCCGAAGTCTCTGCACTCGATGAGACAGCAGGCCTGTCCGAGGCCCTCCATGGCCAGTCTTTGCAGGAAAGTCAGGGAGAGGAGGAGGTAGGCTGCTGCTGCCACAGAGTCTTCCTCCTGTTCCCCAAACCCAATATCCAGAGCCAGCAGACTGCAGAGGGGAAGAGGAGGTAGGGTTGGAGAGGAACTGCCGGTGGATGAGCAGAAAGCTCCACCTCCAAGAGGAAGCAGAGCTGCTGGGGAAAGCAAATGACAGCGGGAAACATCGAGATGTCGCAACAAACGGCAGCAGCGAGCAATTGTCCTGATTACACATTTGTCACAAGGCATGCCAGCCAGGGAGAGCGAGCGCAGAGCCGGGAGACTGTGGAGGGTTTCAGAAAGAACCTTCGAAGGTAGCTGCTGGGCTCCGGACAGGTCCAGACTCCACAGACCCTGAGACACACAGGTAAGGAAAGATGAGATAAGATAAACTTTATTGATTCCTCACTGGGGGAATTCACATATTGTAACAGCTAAATACAAATCAATCATCGCAAGAAACAAGACAAAGAGACAAAAACAGAGATTTTACAAAGAATATCAAGGGAAAAGGAACAGATTCTACTGGGTTCATCACATCCTTAATTAATAATGCCAAGAACTTGTCTACTTTCTGAAGTAACAATTACATTGAGTTTGCAGTGCAAACCCAGGGTAACAACCACATATTTAAGTTTTTATTTTGGGAATTTTTGAATTCTATGTAGCTTATGGTATGAAGAAATAAAGTCCCTAAAATGTAGCCTACATACATAGCGCTAGTATTCTAGCTATTAACACAGGAATGCATAACAAATTAAGGGATATGTTGATAAACATGAGAAGAAGGGGTTTGGATTTTAAATGCTGGTATAAATAAGAACAGTATAATGTACAGTAGTGGTACAAAGTAGGCGCGAATTTCCTCCGCCAATGACATCTGCAGAAATAGCAATATATACATAATAGCTATGTACAGTACAGAGAGTATGTTTACAGAATACATATAGTTAAGTGTTATACTTTTTTAATTTATTTTTTAAATACTTTTTCAGAGTCACAAAATTTGAGGGGGAAAAAAAGAAAATCAGGTGTTACATCATTATTTAAACTGCATTATGATCAGGTATCAATTTTGGTTAATAAATTGAACCAGCAACATTTTTGCTCCATGAATTCGGCTGGCAGAGAACTCTAACTGAATTATCTCTCTACAAGAGGAGCCATTCCCTTACAGTCAGAGACTGCTCTGATTTGCAGCCGCATACCATCATCTTTTGGCAGCTGTAAGGCCAGCTAATAATATACGACAGTCATTTATTGTCAGATTAAGTTTTGAAGTATCTTTCAGCAAAAGAAACCTCTGAGTGTAGGGTATGGCTCTTCCAGTAAAATCTGAGTGTCTTTGCAACCTTTTATATACTGTACATTATATGAAAACTCACAACTTGGACAGGGCTTTTTTAAAAAAGAGTTTTGTGTGTGTGTGTGTGTGTGCATTATGAATAATTACTTATGTTGTGCCCATCATAAGGGGAAAATATGAGGGAAATGGGGATGTGGGGGGAAGAAAAGTGTAATGCTATTATGCAACCAAGTGTAAATGCAACTACTTCAATTACACATGAATAAAAAGACACACAAAAATATGAACAGCAGAGGACAGAGGTTTGGTGTTTTGATCTAACCTGGCACCGTGCAGCAATGTGGCCACAGAGGGCTGAAGTGACCAAACCAGGACACTGCTCTAGAGACAGGCCTCGGAGCTGCGGGACCAGCAGGAGGTGGAGAGCCGCCCGGGACAACTGCTTTCTGGTGCTCAGCAGGCACGTCAGCTCCTCGACAAGCTCGCAAGCTACAGGCAGAGGAAAAAAGTCAATAAAGGGAAGAGATGAGAAGATTCTGCAACAGGAATTGACAGAATCAACTCACTTAATCTTAAATAAAAAAGATAAAGGAAAGGTGTAAAAATAACATATGGGAACGCACATAAGGAGGTTTAAAAAAAAAAAAACCTCTGAAGCCTAAAATTGGTCACTTCCTGTTACAGACATTCTATTTAATGTCTGGCTTTTTGCTGATACAGTGAATCAGTATATTGGGAGTACTGGCTCAAGTTCACATGGCTACCTGACATGTTACCTGTAAGACTTGGGTAAAAGGTGATTCTGACTTATTCTGTACTTATCTAGTTGATTAAACCCTGACAAACTCACGCAGTAGGTTGAAAGGCCCCATGATGTATCTGAATGAATACTGGTCCATGTAGTTGTCAGCGTAGTCTTTCACCCACACATCCTTCATGTTGTCAGCAAGGTTGAGCAGGCACAGGCGAGTCAACGAAAGGACGGAGCCGTCTTCATCCGTCTTCAAGCAGCTCCCCATCCAGACTTTATTCTTCACCCTCCCCCTCCGGCTGGGCCGAGCCTTCGTCCCACCACGTTCATCCAAGGCCCGGAACAGAGGCATTGCTGGATCTCAGCTGGTTTGACAGCAGGAGTGGCTGCTGGATCTGTGTGGCAACGAGGAGATGATTAACAAGACAGAAACATATTTATCACACAAAACATTCTGCCGACATGCTCAGCGTTTCTTCTATGCTTTGTATCATTCCTGAGGTCTTTACAAACACAGAAAGAGGAAACGTTTTAGGGTTAAATGGTCACAACTATACATTTACAGCAACAAGTGTCAAAAGTAAACAATGCTTTGTTTTAAAGGCAAAGGCAAAAATCTGTGCTTTAGTGAACACCAAAATGTCAATGAACCATACTGTACGCACTTTTTGTCATGCATAAAGTGTATAAATAAGTTCACATTATCCCAATAACTCGTTCTCGCATACACTGTTCACATGTCAACAGCAAATATTTACTATTTGACCTTTAACATATTTCTCTTAAGTTGGTGTGTAGTCACCTTGCTATATACTGATTAATACATGCCAGTAGGCCTATCTAATGAACTCAAGTGAACACTGAGAGAGAGAGAAAGAGGTCAGGTACTATTTGTAATAGAGAAAAAAGAGAATTTCCGCAGCATTGACTCCTACCTGCCTTGTCAGATCTAATACTGTCTGAAGTTGCTCAATCTGCAGAAAGAAACAAACAAACAACAAACTCTAACTTAACTTACGTGATTTTCAGCAGCACTTCCTGACTGCAGGACTGTAGGCTCATGGGATTATTCATCCCTCAGTTCGGTCTTTCAGGAATTTATCCTCTCAGCCTGTGCAGGCTATTACAAATAAATCAAAGAACTGCCTTAAACCCACCTCAGACCTCAAGCAAGTACACCAAACAAGTCTATACAAAGTGCCAATTTTATTGGTAAAGAAGAGGTTCAGTCTGAAAGGTCATGTTTACCTGAAAAACGATACTCAGGGAAAAAAATTAATATTTAATGCTGTCAAGCTGCGTTCAAGGCCGATCCGCAGTTGCAGATATGTTCACGTACAAGGTAACAGCTTCAAGCTCTTTTCTGGTTAAATGTGATTTTTTATATAGTGAAATAATTAACATACATATGACAGCAATATTCAAAACTGGAAAAAATGTGATTCCTAAAGTGTGCATAAATTAAATGAAAGTTAAATATTCTCTCACCCCATTTTTACATCTGCAGGTATCAAGCCAGACTCATAGCTTTAGTTTTCTGTTTTAATAAAAACAAATAACAAAAAAATAACAGAGTTGGTTACCAGGGGGAATAGGTCTAGAATGTCATCATACACCAAGATTCTAGAATGTCGTCATAAACCAAAATTCTAGCATGTCGTCATACTTCAAGATTCTAGAATGTTGCAGGATTTTAGAACATTGTCACATTTCTAGAAAGTCATCATAAATGACATATACACCAATATTCTAGAATGCTGTCATACACCAAGGTTCTTGAATGTCATCATACGCCAAGATCCTAGATTATTAAAAATATTTAAGAACTTGTCATAAATGACATCATACACCAAAATTCTAGAATGTCATCATACACCAGCATTCTAGAATGTCATAGCAAAGATTCTAGCATGGAAAGATTCTAGAATGTCATCATGAATGGCATCATACACAACAATTCTAGAATGCCATCATTCACCAAGATTCTAGAATGTAGCATTCTGGAATGTCATTATAAATAATAACTTTCATCATCAAGATTGTAGAATGTCGTCATACATTAAGATTCTAGCATGTCGTCCTAAACCAAGAATCTAGAATGTCGTCATACGCCAAGATTCTAGAATGTTACAACATCAAGTGCTAATTAAATGAAAAAGTGCAAAGTTCACAGCACCTAATAAGTTCCTACTTTCCGTTTTAATAATGTTTCCCGACAGCTCTGCTCTGACTCGCTGCAGTTCCGTCTGTCGCCGTTCGGTGTCGCAGTGGAGCAGTACAATTAGCCACGTGACTCCTCTACGATACAAACTGCTTCCGGCACCGCGGCTCTCAGAAGGAAAATGGCGGCTCTCGGACGAATCTCTCAGACGCTGCTGAGGTCTTCTTTGACCCAGACCCGGCGTCAGATGTCTGCTGCTGCTGCGGGACACGGCGAGCAAGGTGACTGTAACACTTCACAGCGCCTCTCTGGTTATATTTAATGTAATTCATCTTCAGGATAAGCCGCTATGTTGTGACAGTGACCTTGCTGGGTTGGTGTTAGCTGTTTTAGCATTAGCTTTACATCCTTGAGCGGGCAGTAAGAAGACTGTGTCCGAAACGTCAGCTTTCTGGCCGAGTTATTTCAGCCTGTGGTCTCATTATAGCATTAAATCAGCCGTTCACAAGGCCTCGACTCCTTTCGAATTTGGTTAAGTCTGTTTCCTGTAGGTTAAAATGAAGCAGTAGCCACGAACAACACGCTAAATAGCCACAGAGTCTCATCTCAGGTCAATGTACATTTGCAACCATACACCTGGTAATAATCATGTCCCAACTCCAGCAAAACAAAATGTTCACACAGCAAGGAAGAGCAGCAGTTAGGGCACAGAGGTCAGACATGAAGATATGAGCAATGAGTGGAAAGGGTAGCTTAGAAGTTACTTGTGCAAAGTAGAAATAAATGAAAATACCATGTGATGGATAAATGTGTAGATGCAAGATACTTTCATTTTCTTGTACAGTTTTTACTTCTCTGCTCATTTTGAGAATACATTTGAGAAAAAAAAGATTAGTGGAAGTTAATAGAAAAGGGGATTTGTGAGACCACTGGAAAGTACTCAAACTATTTGTTGAACTAATAAAATAAAACAAGTGAAATAATGTCTTACAAAAGATCAAAAGTCTTTTTTTTTCTTCTTCTTTTTTTTAAAAGTCACCTTGAGTGACAGCAGACCAGGCCAGGACAGTACATCTGCAGTTAGTTGTCGGCTATTAAAATATACACCTTATTATTATTTTTATTTTTTATTGTTGATTAATTTGTCTTAGTAGTTAGTAACAAATTACATTAACATTTTAAATGGGAATATTTTCTGTCCTCGGTTCTCTTTTATGGCAGTAAAGGGAGTATCTTTAGGTGTTGGACTAATCAAGACATTTTAGCACACGGTCTTGGCCTTTGGAAAGCAGTTTTTACCATTTCCTTACATTTCATAAACCAGGCAAGTAATCACTTAATAGACAATGAAAACCGTTAGTTGCAGCCCTACAAAATGACTTAACGTGGCTTAAGTGGGGCTCTTTAGAAGGCGTTGTAGTGGTACTGGGTAACAAATCTTAGTTTTTGTCTTTTGAACTGTGCATAATATGTGCTGGCTGTATTTGATGATTTATTTCTCCTAAAGAGCACATTGGGAAATGTCATACAGTTTCCAGACTAAGTGATCTGATCCAATATTCCTACATGTAATTTATTGACATTTCTTTTACCTTAAGTTTGTATCATGTTTGTCTAAAGAGCACTTTCTCAAAAATAGGTGTGTGTTTATTAAATAATTATTGTATGTTTTTCACAGCTAAAACATGGAAGATCCTCACGTTTGTGGTTGCCCTGCCTGGTGTTGCAGTCTGCATGCTGAACATGTACCTGAAAGAGCAGAATCACAGCCATGAGCAGCCAGAGTTTGTCCCCTACTCCCACCTACGCATTCGCAGCAAGGTGTGACTTTATAACCCAGTCACCTTAAATGTGAACTTTGTTTCATTGTTTTTGACTTAATAATGTTTTGTTTTTTTTTTCTATTCTCTGTTGTTACAGCGTTTCCCCTGGGGAGATGGCAACAAAAGCCTGTTCCACAACCCACATGTGAATGCCCTTCCTGATGGCTACGAGGAACATTAGTAAACCTACCAGACCTCATAACTGGCACGAGGACCAGTCCTCCCTCAGTCTTTGTTACAGGACCACACTCCCATTTACAGTTTACCCTCTTCAGTTTTATTGCGTTTACCCCTGTGCTCTCAATATGGGGCACCCGAACCAATAGTTTCTTTTCTCTGGACCACTATACAAAATGTCAGCTTAAACTTAACATAAATAAAGTAACTATTATTACCTCAATTCATGTTTTGATTCCTTTGTTCATCATGTGATCTGGGCTCCACTTTTTCATTTATACTTTGAGGGAGCAGGCCTATTTGTAGGAAGATATTTTAATATATCGCAGTAGGAAAAGCATGTGCATAAATAATAAAATTAATCATGACTGAATTCAATTTAGCTGCTTCAATCTGAGTTGAGTTGTTGCAGCTTATTGGGATAGTTAACACAACTTAATCATCGTGTATGTTGACTATCCTATCTTTGCTTTTCCTACTGTGGCTCATTGAAGTGTCTGCTGTGTGCAAGTCCTATAAAGTAGTGTAACGGTAAACAGCTTCTCTTTGTAATCTCATCTTACATTCACCTTCACTGATTTAATTTCTGTTTAGCTCATGCACACCCTTGATTCACCTTTTTGCACTTGTTAAGGTTTAGTATTTATTGTCAGTAAATGGTGTCCAGTAATCTAATTCCAAACATAGCTGTGCCTGACCTGTATAGAGGTAATGAGCCAGTATGTTGCTCACTGAAGCATCAATGTAAGGCCACTGAGGTCAGGGTGAGAAAGAAGTGGCCAGATGTTAAATTAAAACCGTAATGAATTTAGTTGAGGCAAATCATAACTCAACACAGCAGATACATTTGCAAAAATCTTTGCCTCACGATCCTTCATGAGCATTATGCAGAAAAAAAAAGAAATTCATCGAATAGGATTTTTCATGTCTGACATACTAGTCATAGTCCAAAATGTACAAGCAGTACTAATGACATCAATGATAACTGCTCCATTCAAAATTCATAGTCATATTCATATTGTTAACGCCTGAGCTTTTCCAGCTGCAACAAGTCAAGCTATCATTTTTTCGGAAAAAAAAACAAAAAACTTCACTGCCATGTATTATACCCATTCAAATTTAGGAAAGACTATTTGACCTGATGAAAATGTGGCAGTGGGCCACACCTTGAAAAAATGGTGTCTTGGCCATGAAGAATATCAACCTTGAGTTATGCCAAAAGTTATTGTTCTCCATTGGGAACAGCTATCCTTATGTCTTTGCATTATTGAACCTGCTTTGTACCTAAACCATATGTTGTTTTTTTTTTTACTGGTTGAAATACACTGCAGTTTTCCATTTGCCAGAAAGAGATTTCAGCCCTACACTGACAGAAATGCATCAAAATGACTTGATTCCATTTGTGAGAGTTATATTGTAAAGATCATAGGCCACAGGATAATTGCAAATTGCGAAAGAGATCTTTATTTTACATACAAAACGCATGCAAAAATCATGTTGATTACAGTCTACAAAGGCTATTAGACACACCAAACACAAATGAAACAATACAATACTATGGTATTGCCTATAGTCATCTAAAGTTTCACAAAGACATAAAGTCTTGTGTATTTGCATGTTATGACTGATCCAAATAAAATCAGCTGTAAATGTATATAAAGTGGGCAATACCACTGCGGATGATCACACTTTGGCAGCACTAGCATTCACAGATCTTTCTCCTAGCAGCCATTTTGACATGAAATAGAAGGTAAATAGGCATTATTGATAAAAATGGAAGGTTCTGTCATATTTAAGCACAAAGCCTTAGTTAATCTGATAAGTTGCACCTGTGTCTACCTGCTAGTTCTCTTCCAAATGGCTTCTGAGAAGAGGGTTGGTTGGCTGAAAGGTGAACCTGAATGCCTCAAGCTTTTCACCCTAAGTGGAAACTGCAGGTCACGAAGACAAACTTGAGCTTCAGCCTCCATGTTGTCTGACTTCAGTGAATTACACATTAATGCTGCAGCTGGGAACTTCAGTTATCTAAATATCAATTAAATCTGCACGTAATCATTAACGTTATTCGATAGGAAGCTTTGTCCCACGTGACTCGCTCTTTGTTACAGACTCCACCTCTTCCACGTGAACGCGCCTTAAGCCGAATTAGAAAATCCAGGGTTAACAAAGCTTGCTGATATACTGCTTCATTACACCGGTTATCTCCTGCCCGTTTCCGTCGCTCGGACTGTTATTGATAATGTGAGACGCGGCGCAACAAACGGTCGCATCGGTTTAGCTCGGTTTTCCTCCGTTTTGCGACCGCGGGTTACGATTTGATTACTAAATCTAGCATTGAAACATCTCGGATAACTGCGCGCACCCGCTCCGCCTGCAAGGGGAGATCAGTCGCACGCCGAGACCAGGATCACAATCAATGAACACAGACAGAGGTGAGGAGATCTTGTTCAGAACCTCAGAATAATATGCACAAACAGCAACCATCAGTCATGTTTTGCTCTCATAAGTGTACATTTACAGTCAATTTACTGTGCTTCTATAGATTTCCCGATGATGAGGAAACAGGAGAGGGCGCATTTTTTCAGCTCCAAAGAGCAAGAACTCATACTGAAGTTGTATGAAGAGGAGAGAGAGATACTGACAGCCAAATCCAACACCACCAGTGCCTCCAAACTGAGAGAAGAAGCCTGGCAGAGAATTGCTGATCAAATAAATGCGTAAGAGCTACACAGGTTTATTAGCTGATTGTACACTGACACATTATTTCCCAACTATTTTAATAAACATTGCTAAATTGTTTGAAGAATTTTTGAAGGACAAAAAAAGTCAAAAATTGCAGATTGCAGCTTCTTAAACATAAATATATTTTGGTTTCTTTCCTAATCTGTGACAGTAAACTGAATGTCTTTGAGCAGTCGACAGAACAACACATTTGAGGACATTGTCATGGGCTTTGGAAAAAAAAAAAAAAGTGAATGACATTTTTCACCATTTCTGACATTTTAAAGATCAAACAAGTGAGTTTCTGGAGAAATGAATCGACAGATTAATCAACAATGAAAATAATTGTGAGTTGCAGCCCTATTATTCAGTACACGTCAACTGTCCTGACACAATCATATTTTTCATGGTTCACAGGGTGTCGGACAGCGGCTACAAAAGGACCTGGCAGCAAGTGAAAGTCAAGCACAAGAACATAGTGCAAACAGGTATCCTTGTGATTGCAAATAATTTAATGCATTTAGGTGCGATTTTGATTAACTTTTGCTTTAGTTAAATGTATATGTAATATGTATTTTTTTTGCAGGTGTCCACTGTTGCTTCATTACATTTCAACAGCAAATACTGTACTTTTTTGAACCCATTGTATTTGAATGTATGTTGACTATGCAAAACATCAGAATGCATCATCATAAATAAACTACTCAACACTGGAAATTTAACCCTTACAGTTTAGGATCAAATTTGACCTGTTTTGACATTTGACAGCAGTACAAACACCCTAAACGTCATTCTTTTAGCCTGAACTCGGATGACTTTTTGTAAAGTGACCCCAAATACACAAAAATGAAAATATTTTAAAATGGTATGCTTTTGTACAGGCAAATTTTTGTACTCTGAGGCTGTTTTTTATTTTAGAGCCTTTACTTTTTAAATCTGTCCCCGAGTAGCCAAAAGAAGAAGGGCAGAGGTGATCAGGAACGAGGAGGGATCGGCAACCCCGTCCCTGACTTCTGCTGAGGAGGATGTACTGCACCACAAAGACAGCAGGCTCAAAGTGGAGGTCCTTCCCGGAGCTGCCTGTATCGACCCAATAACTGTATCCGACAACTCGTTTATGAGTGGTAGGTGGAGTTCATCCTTCATAAAAGCCCCTTTGGAATTTAGCCGAAAGCTTTAATTAACATTTGTACCACCACCACCACCGCAGTGTCGGGTCATCCTGTCCTCCTGCTGCCTATAGCAAAGACTGAACCGGAGAGCCTGAGCAGTGACGAAACAGATGTTAGTGACGATCATTTTGAAGGGGTAAGCGCCTGCATGTTTTCAAGCATTCGCCTTGGAATGCTCGACATATTGACCTAATTGTTTGTTGCAGGATGTGCACATTAGCAGCTTCCAGGAGAGGGCCAACTCAGTCGGTGCTACAGCTGGTGGCAGAAGTGCAGAGGTAAGGTTTATGTTTCAGCACTGGGATACAGAAATGACAAAATAATAAGAACAGTAAGAGCACATGTGTTGTTGAATTTCCTTCACAGAGGCAGACGGACGATGTAAAGGCCCTTTACTGCTGCTACCTCAAAAAGGAGATCGAGAACCGGGACCAGGAGATGGCATACAGAGCACTTAAGATGAGGAAGCTGGAGAAAGAAATCTTATTACTTGATAAGCAGCTGATGTGATTGTAAAAACTGGTGATATTTTTAATCGCATTGTTATGTCATGTTAAAACAACATTTATTTAAGGTCTATACAATTGTTATGAATTCCTTCGGTCACATGTGTTGTATTAACAGATTTGCGACTTCTGCCACAGTGCGCCGGCGATGGCGTGTGTAGTTTGCAGTTAACCCTTTGAACCTTGGCGGTCCTGGTACAAGGACCAGGCCGTATTTTTAGAAAACGTTCAATGACATAAGTGTCATTAATAGTTGTAAATAAGCAGTCTGATGTTAAAAATATTTTTAATTTGTGCTGGACTTTTTAAATCTCCCTGTGGCTTAATGTAGAGGACAGAGAGATGGATGAGTTTCTCTTATTCCTTCCAAATGTCTCTTATTCATAGAGCCCAATGTTATTTATTCTGGCCTTACAGTTGTGGTGCTGACTGAATTTTTTTTCTAGTGAAACTTTAAAGACATAGTCTATTGTACGTAAGGGGTTAACTGCAGTGGTGGGTAGCAATGTCTGGACAAGTTTGTAACAATACTCTTATTTTTGCAGTATTGCACCATGCAATACTGCATGAGCCGTTAGAGTAATCCTCAGACTGTGGAAGTGTTGAAATCTTCCTATACGTTGCCCGAAGAGCATGTCAATCCCTGCATTGTCGAGGCAGGAGTTGCCCCAAAGCAGGCTTTGAGGCCCAGCGCGGGTATCGTGGTTACACAGAGGATTCCTCTATCACATGGTGCGCTGACACACTGCTGCTGGTATTGGTTGGTATTCCAGCACAATGGATTAGAAATGAGTTCATGAGGTGACCAATGGCTTTAATCTCAGAGCATTTACATCCACATCGGATGAGAAGTGCAGGAGCTGTTTTACTCTTTTCTATACATTTCTGCAATTTTAGAAGACACTAATCGGACAAGGTAGATAAGCAGTGGTAACATTTCTGAAAATGGTTCGCAATCTGGTACTTAGGCAGCGGCTGACATGGACAGCTTGTTGGTTCCAACTTTGGCCACCTCGCTTTCGTCCAGGAACGTTGTCTGAGCAGATCCTCGATATCCTCAAAAACCTCTCTAGTAACTTAAATTCATTAGATGACAAAAGTAATGATTTTATCTGGTTGGGTTTCGCTGTTTGGTGTGAACATGAAAAGCTGCTTTTGGAAAATGTTCTGACATTGTTGTTTGCATTGCATTAGTAACTGAGGGTCAGCGTTGCAAATGTTTGAACAACTAACACAGCTTTGGAAATAATTACTCGATCTCCTGTTTTCTTCACGTCTACACAACAGGCCTTCATCATTTATAAGTTTGTTTGAAGTTCATGATAGTGGTTTAAAAAATACAGTGTCTTCTAAAAGACATCATTCTAATAATTCAACACATGCAGAAAAATGTTTTAAAATATGATGTTTTGAAACTTAAAAAATTCTAAATCCACACTAAATAACCATTCAACAGTGCCTGAAGAAAGAGAAGTGTGAGATGATGAGAAGGCAGACGTGATGGTCATCAAAGAGAGAATCATTAACTAGTCTGAAGTGAGCTGGCCACTGCAACCTGAAGAAACCTGAAGAAAAAAACACCTAGAACTCAAATTAAGAGGCAGAAAATAGTGGAGGAATAATTATTTCCAAAGCTGTGGGAGACATCCTGTTTAGATCTCATATTTGCCACACAGTCAATCAGTGTTGCCTTTCTTTTATATTTGTTTGCAAAGATTGGAGTGAAAACCTTTTTGTTTGATGCAATCTTACTTTATTTCTGTTTTGGTTATTTACAACCAGCCTTCTGTCAGATGTACAAAGAAGGGAGAAAAAAAAAACCTTAGTGTTGCTTCTATTTCTGTTAAATCTATTTATAAATTAGACATCCTAACTGTAGTTTTTTTTTTTTCATTGTGATTTTTTCTCTCCATTGTCGTGTTTAATTATGTATTTATTCATGATTTTTGTATGAACCCACTACAACACGGAACGCTTTAGGTTCTTAAATGGAAAGTTTGTTCAGTATCTGCTATGTGGTGCATAAACTGCTGAATGGGGACTTAAAGAGTCCAAGAATACATGATATTAAAAAGCATTTGCAATGATTGTGATGTTGATTAAAGACGAGTTTTGGTAGAAATGTCCCTTGAGGTCTGACTAAACTGTTGTTTTGTGCGACTCTTAGCAAAATTCAACCATCTTTCACCTCTGCTATGAACAGAGTATTGTGAAAATGGTTTGCGGGGATCATTACAGGTAGAACTCAGTGTGAGCTGATCTCTGTGCAGCTCTGCAGACCTCCTGACTCTGCAGCTCGGACGACATTCAAAATGGCGGCCTGCATCGCGACTGTAAACTCACATTTTCCTCCAGCGATAGAAAAGCGGAGCTGAGATTAAAAACTCGCCTCCAGAATTTGAAATAAAAGCGACGTGTCTGAAGTGTGTCCCGACCAGACAGCTGATTCCTGTTTGGTTTTAATGCAGCCATTGGCTGACGGAACTGTGCGCGTTCACAGACCGCTCATGAAGCCACCCTCAATCGAGCACCGAGAAACTGATCCACCGTGGTTCAAAGGTAAATACACCGTCAAGCTGTTCTCTATTGCTATTTAGAGCCTCGTGTTGTCAGTGTGGATGCGTTTGAGTTTCTCGAGGTATAATGTTTTTTATTCTTCTTCTGTATCATTTAGAAGCATATATCACAGCCATTTTCTTTCATTGCAGACTGAACCATCCCACCTTTTAGCTCAGCCTCTAAAACAGCAGCTCATATTAACATATGAAGCTGAACAGAGTCAGTAGTAGAAAACACATCATTTATCTTGAGCACATTCTGAATAAACAGATATTGTTATTATTTTTGCCATGCAGAGTCCAAGTTAATCACGATGAATGAAGATGTGATCTTCCTGCAGCCTTTTGCACCTGCAGGAGCTTTTCTCCGGAAGAACAGACACAAATGCTTCAGGAGAGTTTCCCAAACTAATATCAATTACTAACATTTTCCTTGTTGCATGGATTTTGAAACAGGTACCCTTTCCATTGTGGACACATGCAGTGTCTGTTTACCCTCAGACACCTGACACTGTTTCCTCATGAATATGTGTATGAGGTGAAATAAAGAACTTTGGCCTGCAGTGTCTGTGGATATATTGAAGCACCTTCTAAAGAAAAACACCAGCTTGAACATACACTGCTCTGCACTGTGGTGATCTGAAAGCTGGAGCTTTAGTTGTTGTCTTCCATGTCCAGATGTTTAGTGTAGAATTCTACAGGAATGTTAAATTGCTTGATGTTTCTGGAGTATTGTTGTGAGATAATGACAAAGAAACTAAAGTCTAATAATGTTACAAGAAACAGGGATCAGTGAAACCTGAGTGTTGAAAGCCTGCATGCGTAAATTAAATTCAACTTTGTGATTATTCACAGTGTGACGATAACAGTGAGGATGCTCAAACTATCTTTTACCTGACTGCTGAAAAAACACTGCACACTGGACCTTTATGGGGACATTGAAAGCTGCTGTGTGGCAGATGTGGAAAGTAACAAGGTTCATGTGATTTTTTTCCCCTCATCCTCATTCTCTTTTGTAGCCTTTACCTTGTGTGCAGAAAAGACAGTTTTCTATTTTGACTAGTAGTTTTGGACTTTACATAAGAGTTCTGGATATGAATTTCTTTTTGGGCTTTAGTTCCTGATGCAGAGGTCGTGGGTTCGTGTCCGGCCCATGACCATTTGCTGCAGGTCCTTTCCCCACTCTTCTCCCCACATGTCCCTGCCTCTCTCCACTTGTAATTATAGTAACGGCAAAAAAAAAGCCCCCAAAAATCAACAAAAAAAACACTAAATCAAAAAAATAGAGTGACTAAGTATGATGGACTACTTACGTACTATATTGAGGCGCTTTTGCTTGAATTTAGGGAGCCATGCTTTTCATACTACATAGTTTGGCAACATTCATCTGCCAGCTGTCTTTAGAAAAGCAACTATTTACTGTAAGCTTTAATTAAACTCTTATACACTCTTATAAAAATCAGATACCCACAAGTTAATTTAATGTCATGTAACGCACTGACAGTATATACTTGAGTTTAATTATGCATGCAAGACGTGTACTTGTATTTAAAACGCTGACTTAATGCTGTTTGTGAGTCAACCTGATCTGTTCATGTGGCTTTTAAAGTTTGCTTTTAAAGTGTGCGCGTCCCTCTGGTTTGTCCTTGTGCGCTCGCCGTACTTTCACATGACTTCCACTGCGTGTGACTGACCTGCATTCCTCAAGTGTCTCCCTCACTTCACTCCGATTCATGTTAATGGCGAGTACAACACAAACAGTGGCCTGAACAAGCTCCTGTCCTCCGCTGTCGACTTGTCACATGTAAATCGGTGTTTCGTAGCAACCAGCCGGTCGTCTCTGGTCTGTGGGAGGATTTCTAACTTCCGAGTTCAACAGTTACTTCTACTTTTCAGTCAGAGGAAATCTTCAGACTGCTTCAAATACATGGATGCACGATAAACTGATGGCTGAGCTCATGCCGCCGGACTCAGGAAGGTAAGAAGAGCTGAGACTCAGACTGTGTGGTCAGTTTTACTACACAAACGAGCAACAGGCTGCATCTGCTCACTGATAGCTGCAGGGAGTATTTACATTATTTACTACAGGAAAGGTTCTCCCACAAGTCAAAATCCTGCATTGGAAATGTTTGCTAAAGAAAAAGTTTGGAACAATAATCAGGAAAATGTACTTAACCTCTTAAGACCTGGCGTCCACATGTGTAGACGTCACATTTTGGGTTTTATTACCACAGGGGTTATTTATTATTTTTGTAAAAACATTATTTTATTATTATAATCATTTTATCATTTTTTTTTAAATAAATAAAAAAATTTTTAATTCATTTTCGTTTTCTGTATATATATATATATTTTTTTTTTTCAAATAATAAAGAGAAATTAAAAAAAAAAAAAAAAAGCCTGTCAAACAAAACCGCGGGTCTTAGGAGGTTAAAGAATCAAAAGCAAAAATACTGAATGTAGAAAAATGCACCCTGTGGCTGATATCGTGGGCCACTACTACATATCATACCATTAGATTGTTATTACTCATGCATGAACGTAAAAGCACCATTTAACTGTGGTTCTGATACATTCTCACTGCAACTAATAATTATTTTCATTATGAATTCATATTCAGATTATTTTCTAGTGATCAATTGATTGTCTGGTTTGTGAAAATAGTGAGAAATGCCATCACAAGTGCTCTAAATGCGTATTATAATAGTTGCCACTTCTCTGTCAGTAGACGAACTGGAACTGATCAACGGAGTAATCGTTTCATCCGTACTGAACATATTTTATGAGGGACTCATATAATTCGTGTGCCAGAATCTTAGCTTGTGAAATACTAACGCCGTCAGATAAGGTAGTGAAGTTAAAAGTTTCCTTCTGAGATGCAGTAGAGCAGAAGTATATAATGACATGGCAAGTAACATACTGGTAGCTCCAGTTTGCACTTTAGTGCAGTACTTGAGCAAATTTACTTAATTAAATTCTGACTCTGAGTTGGTCAAAATCAAACCGGTACTCTCTGTTAACCAACAGAAATGTTTTTGCACGTTAAAGTAAATGTGCCATCATTCAGAACTCCATGTCTTCAGACCAGCAGCTTTATTAAATGTTTGGAATTTGACTTTTCTTGCCGAGCACATGACCAAACTGATTGAATAAAACAAGATCCACAGTCTGTTGTCGTTCATTAAAAATACTGAAAATAGAGAGAAATGACATCACAGGGGCATTTCTTGCCAATTTTCTGCCAATAGACTGACCGAGGAGTCAACTTATTGTTTCAGATGTGCTTGTGCAAACTGTTGGGTAACAAAACATCATGTTTTGGGAGTTTTTCATGTTTTGTGTGCACAGAAAAAATTTAATCTTTAAAGTAACTAAAGCTGTCAGATAAATAGTGTGAAGTTAAAAGTGACGTATTTCCCTTTGAGACGTACTGGAGTAGAAGTAGAAGGTGACATAAAAAGAAAAGACTCAAGGAAAGCCTCTCAGATTAGTACAGCACTTCAATAAATGCTCTAAGTTAGATTCTACCTGTGAGTAGCTCTGGTCTATTTCTTTGTTGAATCTTTCAGGTGCTGTAAAGAGAGAAGATGTATTATTACTGTAAACCAAACAGAAATGTTTCTCCACAATAAATGAAGCTTGACGTCTTCAGAGCTGCAGCTTTGATAAATGTTTGGAATTCTTGTCAAGCCTGTGATCATCCTGACTGCACAGAACAACAGCCTCAGTCTCCAATGTGTCACACTTCTTTGAATCTAAATCTTGTGACATCGATTGTCTTCGCTTTTTATCCATCAAACAAACAGTTTACGTATCTGTTTGTGTGCTGCTTCTGCAGGTGTAATTATTTCTTCCTCTACGATGGATCCAAGGTCACAGGAGAGGGTGACCCCACCAGAGAGGGGATCTGCTACTTCTATCCTGAAGAGGTTTGACTGTCACAACTTATCAGCTTGGTTCTGTTGAGTGGATGAGTGGGCGGAGTGAAAAGATGATCCCTCTGTGTTTGTCTGTGTGTTTGTATTTTAAGCTGCAGTTTTTAGTTGTGTTGGTACAAAAGCCTCTCATTTCTGCATGTGTCTCTGTCAGACCCCTTTAGACAGACAGGAGCTGCTCTGCAGTCAGTTCGCCGGTGTGGGCCGCTGTGTGTCCGAGCTCTCCTCCTCTCCCGTGCGAACTCTTAGGTTGCGTCACAACAAGTTTGCCATCCGCATGAAAGACGACTTCTTGTGGGTGAGTGGGTTCGCGGGAGGTCGAAGCAGCTGCTGTGTTTGGACTTTGTTTCATGAATGTGGTGGTTATTCTGGGGGTGTGTTTCATTCTTCTCCCAGGCTCTGGGCTGCTCAGTGGAAGTCCCGACTGTCAGCGTCTGCGAGCTCCTGGATCAACTAATAAACCTCTTCTGTTTCTACAACGGCTCTGTGCGCCAGAGCTATCAGGTGCAGTTGTGTAGACAGTTCTACAGTTGTCTAATGCGTCCACTTAGGTTAAGAGGAAGATTTGCATCTGCAACACAACACAGACAAACATACGACAGCAGTTTAGAAAAGCCAAAAGGCAAAATCACAAAAATAGAGAAAACTGACAATAACTGAATATCAAACAAGCTGCTTTTTGGTTAGTTTTAAACAAATATCAAAGCATTTGGGTCAATACAAAACTTTAAAGTCTATTTTGACAAACTGTCATCAAATCTGAGACTGAATTTGGGCATTCTTTCTTAGAAATGTATCACGTTTTTGTATATTTATGAGAAAAGGGATTGTTGAAGCAGTTTCTCTCTGTGTGTTGGAATATGGCTGTGTTATTTATGGACGGGCAGCCAGTTCCTCTTTCAAACCTGTAGATACAGTACATTCTGCAGTGATGCCTTAAGATTCATCATTAAAGAGCACATCATTTCTTGCCATATCAAAAACTGACTTGTCTGTCTTGTCAGTGAAGAAAGATCATCATTTGTTTTCATCTAGTTGTAAAACTGTATCACAAAAGTTCACATTGCAGGTGTCAATTCAGAATATTTTGTTTCTGTGCCCCACATGTTGGTATGCACTTTAATAAAACTTTAAGTTGCCCTTATTAATACCATTGGGGCAATTTCATAATTTAGTTGCTGCTCCTACTGACTGTACAAGTCTTTGCTATACATTTTTTCATTGTTCTTGTTTTTATTGTTTTATTTGTTTGACTCATTTTTAATCCCTTCTCTTTTTAGCATTGTTAAATTAAGATTTTGTCTCATATAGCCATCTTAAATCATTCATTTTATTTAGAACTCTAAGGCCATTACTGAGCCCAGTTGTACACCGCCATGTTGTAATTTGTGCTTTTCTTCGCCCTGCAGCTCAACAGTCAGGAGACTCTGGCGGCCCGCTGGGCTCGGTACCTCTCATACCTGCAGTCAGGATCCTCAGAGATGTGTCACATCTTCAGCTGCTTGAAAACAATTGACTCAACTAATGTACGTACAAAACGGTTCTGCTTTTAAGCGGCAGCAGCTTTTTCTAATGCTGCACCACAATGATGCACGCAGGATATGTCACAATGCCCTGCGGTGTTGTGTAAATGCTCAGTCATGTCATATCTTCACAAACACTCAGAGGCAAATTTCTGCATATTTTGTTGCACCTACACAGTATATAAAGATGATAAAATCTGCAAAATGTGCTATCGTTGGTGCAGTTTTCTAGCTGTTGCAAAACACATGCTGAAACATGCCAAGTCTATCACACGATGCAGATATTATAACATCAAAATATTGTATTCCAAAATTCACAAAAGCGTCTTTGTGTCACAGCTGAACTGATGAAGTTACTGTTATATGAGCTGCATATTGTTGAGAAGTCCACACTCCAGACGTACAACAAATAGAAATCACACTTTCACTGTTTTAGCTCCAACACTGTGGAGGCAGCTCCCCCGTACTATCACTATAACAGCTGAGTCAGTGCCTCGGTTTAAGGAGCTTTTAGAACCAGCCTGCACAGACTGGCATTTGTGTAGTTTATGTCTTCTCTAATGTTTAATTGTGGCTCTGTTTTTTTGCGACACCTTGTAATTCTGGTTTTGAAAGGTGCTACTGCTAAAATGCTTACCATTATAATAAAGTTTATTACATCAATCACCTTTAAATTTAGTGTTTTTCATCAGTTGAAAGGCAACACTTGTGGTTCTTGTCCTCAGGTTGACCCACTTCTCCTGCTCAAAGCTGCCCTCATTCTGCAGGCCTGTCAGCGCTGCCCTCTAGTGCTGGCAGGCTGCATTCTTTTCAGAGGACGGTGAGCTGACATTTTGACAATATCCATCTTGTGATAGGTTTTTTTTTTTTTTAAATAATAGGTTTTGAAATCTGAACTTTTTTCTTTTTTCCTCCTCTCCAAAGAGTTGTTAGCACACAGATGTCTCCAGAGCTCACCATGAAGGTCATGGTCCATGAGAGCGAAACATACACCAAGGTAGGACACACATGAAAGTCGCATTTTCTCCTCAATCTTTTCTTACCAAGTGCTCCCAAACAGATCGGCATTAGTATCGTTGTAACACTCAGAGAATTAACTAATAATCACAAATGTAAAATGGTTTTATTTTACACATTATTATATTAATGATAATATATTTTACCCACAGTTTAAATCAGCTAAAGAATATCATTAATAAAACATTTTTTTTCTGCAGAGAGCCATCCTGAGCCCATTAATAGCCAGTAATTTAAACTTATTAAGTAACATCTTAATAAAGTCACATTACAGATGTAGTTACACTTTTGGGAAATGGATCCCAGTATGAATATATATGAAGAGTTCATTTACAAAAACAGATAACGCCATCTTCACAAACCTTCAGAAAACCCCCTTGTCCTTCATCTACCTGAGACAATATCAGTTTGATTGATATTATTTCCAGCAAACAACAAACATTTTTTGAAAATCTACAAAAATTGAGTTATCTGTTTTTACAAATGAACTCTTTATTTAGATTTAAAAACTGGGTTTCCAGTAACACTGGGCTTTATATGTGACTTTAACAACAACCAACTAAATTGTCACTCAAGTGTTGTATTAAAAAAACAACAACAACACTTGTAACTGTTTTTCACCTCTAACAATCATATGATTATTATTTCCTGGTTTGTCAGAGAGGCTCTGACTGGACCATTGTTGGATGAGGAACCAACATTGTCCCCTCTGGCCTCCAACCTCATCACCACGTTGCAGTTTTTGACGTCTGACCAAAAGCATTTCAGCCAAACGTCGCCATGTGACCGATGCTTGCTGACTGTTTGACCCGCTGTATCTTGCTTTTTTAAAATCTCTACACAAACCAAAGTCTAAAAACAGCACTTGGCCACAAGGGTTTTGCGGTGGACTATTTTTGAACACTTGATGCCAGGCGAATTCTGTTACCCGTCTTAATGCTAGGCAAAGCTAACTGGCTACTGGCTTCAGCCAAATATTCACTGTGCAGGCATCTAATCCACACTAGGCACTGTAGATATGATGATAACTATAAATAACATTGATTTAAAAGTCGCTTTAAGTCAAGAGGATGCTCAGGTTACACCTACAGTGATATCGTTAGGATCACTTTCAGACTGATTTGATAAACGCAGTAAAATATTTGAAGTTCATTCGTTTAGCAACTCACGTCCCCCTGCTGTCTTAAAAATGCAATTTAACTGCACTTCAGGTGATCAATCATATTCTTGTTAATATGAATAATTATTAAAATCTAAATTAAAGTGCTTTCTCAGCTGTCATTTCTCACCACATCTTTTCTGGTGTAGAACCTTTAGGTCATCTACTCTAATCTCTTAGTCGTGTGTTATACCACTTATCAAAAGCTTATATGACATCATTTTAGGATGAAAATTACACATTAATGAAACATCATTTTACTCGAGTCATACTGCATCATGGTCTTTGGCACTGATGAGGTTTGTTTGGTCCTTATTCATGTCCTCTTGCTCGATCAACAGGATATGCCCACCATCAAACTAATGTTGAGTCACAGCCACAAAAGTATGAATACGATTTATCTTCAAGAGACAGCAGCTCTTGTAACAGAATGTTAGATTTGTTTCCTTTTTCTTTGCTGCGTTCATCAGTAACAGGTCATCATTGTTCATTCTGGGCCCCCGACACAGATGGAGCAGCCAGCGTGGGCCTGGTGCCACTGTTTGCACAACATTGTTGTTCATCAGTGTGGACGCTCACGTCATTATCGCCAGTAAAATGCTGAATTATTACTTTTAACAGAAAGAAGTGACAAGCAAGTGTTTTTGATTTAGGGCCAAAGGATCAATGGACCGAGCACATCCAGCTCATTCGACGGTGCTGTCAGCTCCACAACTGTGTTCCTGACCATGTCTGAACTCCAGTACCTGCAGGCCGCTCCTGTTGACAAAGATTTCAGGTAGGATCTGTTCCAAAAATTCAGCTTTTTTGTTTACAGAAGGTGTTTAACTTAAACAAACTTGTAAAACAGAATGCTTGATTACCATTTCCAGACAATTCTGACAAAGCTTTTACACCTTACAGTTCACATTCCACCCCTAGCAAAAACGCTCCTCCAAAGAAAACCCGCCTGTCAAGAACTTTATCCGACACGCCCTCTACAGAGTCAGAGCCTTCTTACCCAAGTTCGTCCCAGTCTCCCCAGAAGGCATCCCTCAGCCCTCACTTGTCAGAATCAGATACCTCTGTGAGCAGCCCGACTCCATCACAGAGTACTGCTGATTCACTGAACCCCTCACCACAGTGGCTAAGGCCTCCCCTCTCAAATGGGAAACACTCTCATGAAGCTGAGGAGGAGGCTCTGGACCAGTCGTACTATCACAGTTTTCACAACAACGGAGATGGAGGCAGCCAGATACACAGCGAAGGAGACAGCTCAGTGTTTGGAGAAAACTCTCATCTCAACGGAGATGCAGCTTGTGGGACAGTGTTTGACTTCAGAGGGACTGATTCCGAGAATGAGCGGTCACATGAAGATAAGATGGTGGCGGGAGACAGTAGAGGCTGCTGTGGGACGGATCAAGGCCCTAAGGCAGAGATGAAAGATCCCTCTCATCTCCCCAGCGTTTTTGACAACTTAGAAGAGTCTCCATTCATTGGCATGACGCTGTACATGCACCGGGTGAAGGGCCTGGTGTTGGCTCTGCTGGTGGAGCCTCATTTCTTGAGTGACGCAGCGTCTATGGAGGAAGTGGTGAGAAAAAAAAGGCTTTTTCCATGACAGCACTAGAATTTTAATTGCGCTAGTTTGCATTTGTAATGATGATATTTGTTACTGTATGCCTTTGTATCCAGTATCACAGCAGCCTGGCTTCACTCAATGGACTGGAGGCCCATCTGAGGACCATTTCTCCAGGGGCCCCTGGTGCTCCAGGACCCTACATGTTTGCCCATTTTGACTGCATTCAGAGTACCTTGACAAGTAAGGCCCCCTTAACACTCTCATGTATCTCTCTATATTCACTCTTTGGTGCTTCCCAAACTTTACTCTGCATCTCTTTTTTCATTTCTGATATTTCTAAAAAAATTCTCTCTCTTCCAGTTCCCCAGTTTTCCCTTTTCTGCTAGAGTGAGTATAAGCCCTGGTGTGTCTGCTCAGGGAGCCGGGTGGGTGGAAAGGAGGGGTTGCTAGTTTATATTTGTCTTTGCATGAGCTAATGGCTAATTAGTAAGACTGTGATCAGCATTCCTTTGTGCAGCAAGGCAAGCCTGTCCAGGTTAATGTGCCTCTGTTATTGTGTGTCCCTGCAGCCAACCTGTCTGGCCGACCAGGGGGAGCCCCGGAGCATCCTTTTGTCAGAGCCACATCACTTCTTCACTCGCATTTCTGTAACACTGAAACTCTGCAGGAGGCTATTATCAGGTCAGCATGGCAGTGACGTGCTGGTGGCTGGGGGGGGTTCTTGTTCCTCTCACGAAGAAGTTGGGGGTGGGGGATGGATTTGTCATTTTATTGTGCCTATCATCACATCCCCCTAATCCTAAATGTTCTATGTTTAACTTGCACAGATCACATTCATGGGCAAAGCTCACATTTGCCGGCAGAGAAACGCTCTGAGATCTCTTTATTATGTCACTTTTGTGGGCTCGTGCTTGAAATGTTAATGCATGTGACATTTTCACCGCAGGAGTGCCAGCGCCGCCGTGTATGGAACCCGCAGCGTGGCCCAGGAGACTTACTTCCAGCAGCACGGAGGATCGCTGAGGAACTCGGGCATCCCTAACCACCAGGACAGTGCTTTCTCACTGCCCAGCAAGGCCCGACACAGACTGCTGAAACACGGGGTTAACCTGCTCTGACAGGACAGTATCACGACGCCTGCTCAGTGTTCAAGAGGAGTTCTATTCAAAAATGTAAACAACTCAAGTGTAAGTAACCTTAAAAACTAAATCTGAAAATTCTGAATGGCAAATTTTAGAGTTTGACTAAAAGCGTCCTCTGTTTTGTCGCAACTGTGGGGTTACTTGTTCATGCAATACAGTGTATGAACTACATCATGTCTGTACATTTACGAAGCACTTGATTTAGCTTTTATTTGTCATTATTTCTATTATTAACAATATGAACAGGAAGAATAAGAAAACATGAAGAGTAGCTGCTGCTTTCAGCACTTATGGAGGGTTTGATTTGCTTCTCTGTTTTGTTTTAGAGTTGAAAAAATTCATGACAATAATAGCCAAAGGAGAAACAAATATCATAAATTATGTTCTCAGAGCCACTAATGTCTGAATTAACAGAGTCAAACTCCACCTGGTTCCACTGTAGTTCACACACTGCTGCAGCAGATTGTATGAGAATGTACTGTGCTATAAAAACCGTCATGGCACTGATATTTCAAGAAAGCTGAGATTTTCTTTATTATTTTTTATCTTAACTATTAATTTACTATGACAGAGAGGATGGATGTTAAAGGTTAGTGGGAGTTTTGGTTATTTACACACTTGTTTCAGTTCAGTTTTAATTCTGTTATGCAAAAAAAAAAAAAAGCCTCTGCATCTAGAACTATAACTTAGTTAACATAATAAACTCAAATTTACACACTACACCCTCTCTGCACCTTTTGCAATCCTCTCACTTCATTGATACTTCTGAAATGCAGCAAATATAACGTTACCCTTGCTTGGGGTTTTGCATTTAATAAGACATTTAAACTAAAGCTGGTCATTTTTTGACTCATTTGTCCAGAATCACTTTTTTCTGTTGTTGTTGCTGCAACTGTATTAAACCTTTTTCTCACAAAAACAGTTTTTAAAAAAATAAAAAATGGTTCCATTTCAAATCAACCATTTTGTAGGAAAAATCCATTGTTTAACCCTGTTCAGGACTTTCATGTTGCCATATGTGGAAGGTCTTTTGGGGTCCATTGGTCCCCGAGAAAGAATATGTGCAAAATATTTGTTGGTATTCATTATAGCCTTTTATACTATGTTTAATAAATTTTCTGATAGGTTGACCTGTTTTTGGTTCCAAATGCATGAAAAATGTTGCTCTTTTTATATTTAAAAAAAAAAACTTCAAAAATAAAAAAACAATGCCTGTCACCTAAACCAAATGGCCTGGGGTCCACAAGACTCTAAAAGTCCTCAATAGGGTTAACCATTTGGTTATTAGTGTAATTTGTTGTTGTTGTTGTTTTTAAATGTGTGTATTCAGAGTTTGCTGAGAAGAGATTTACTGTGAATGACTGCGTTATTGTTGGAGATTAAATGAATACATGATCCACTCGCTGTTGAGTCTTATGTGAGCAACTTTTGTAATTTGGTGTTTACAACCACAGGGGTTTTGTGACCTTCTTCGGGCAATCAGAGGCTTGCATGTGACCCTCACAATCCGGCTGTCTTTGTTTTTCACCTTCGATTTAACGCTTCGCTCTAAAATGACCTGAAGAAGTGCGAACGTAACGCTGTTAAGGCCAAACGCATGCTTGCAAAATATCATTATTCATGTTCTGCACCCATGTTTCTGTGCCGTACGTGTTGTAAATCAGATTGTTCTTGATGATCTAATCATGGAGTAATTAGAGTCATTAGCTAAGTAGCTGAATGTGAATGGACGGGTCTGCGCTCTTCGGGGCGCCTCATTATGCAAGCGCATTGAAAGAAAACAGTGGGGGTCAAATGGGTGGTTAGGGGCACGGACAAAAAGAGGGGCAGGGACTGAGAAGAGGGTCAGAATTCAAATTGTAAGTGGTTAGTTGTACCCATTGTCAGAGAGGTATATAACCCGCACATCAAACTCGGCGAATGCAAAGTTTGGAGAGCTGGCATTACGGTGAGGCTGCTTAAAGGACCAACGGCCGAGAGTTGGATTACACCATGGCCTCCTCAAGCTCCGTTTGGATTGTTTCACTTTTCATCACAGTGATGACGAGTAATTTTGGAGTATTTGGTCGCGCAGTGGACACGCATGGATTTCTGTCACAGTCGTCCAAAACTGCACATGAATCTCCCGAACCAACTTTACGCACTGACACGTCGAGGCGGTCGAGGGCCGCGGAGACGCACCGGGAGCGGTGCGCAGATTTTGCGACACATTGGCAGGAAAACACGCAACAAGCTCCCGGTGATAACGGAACATTGTTTCAGCTCCATGTTCGGCCGTTTTCACCTGGATCCTCGCGGGGTTTAATTTTTCCAGGAAAATTTCTTTTCAGCTTTGTGCGGCGGCTTTATCGCTGCTGTCAAGAAGGAATGAAATGCAGGAGCGTTAAAGGGATTCAAGGTCGCTTGAGAGCAGGTAAGACAGATCCAGCAAAAACACATGCCATAGGAAACTTTTGCTGTAAAACTTTGAATGGGTTGGGTTGGTTGTGCTCTTTGTGGTTGAGGCTGCAGAGCTCAATCAGAAAAAGTGAAGGTCGGGCTGATTTTCACTGCGGTTAACTCTAATAAATAGATCTCAGTGTAACATGGAGCTGTTTTGTAACCGAAGCAATCCTCACTATGAACATCAGCCAGTGAGAAGCTCTGAGGGCACAGGCCTCTCACAATAGTGTAACATTGTTCAGCTTGTTGCCATTGGCTGGTTAACATTTAGGTTGAATTGTCCCTTGATCCTGCTCATTAGATTTGGAATCAAGAAATGTCCACCATGAAAAGCTGTATGGGATACTCACGTGATTTTAAGTCCAGAAAAATAGAAACTTTGCTCAAAAAATGTTTTTACTTTAATCATCAAATTGATACTCTTTTAAAACTCCTGAGGAAGACCTTCTTGAAGGTTCTTCCAAAGTGGTTGACACAAAATGGGCAGGTAGCCGCAGCTGTTCTACAAGATACATGTAATATGCCCATATAATAAGCCCATTCAGATAAAAGTTAGAGAATATGAGCATACATGAGTACACAATTAGGCAAAAGAAAGATAGATCAGATTCTTGAGAGACCACATTTAGCAGCCACATACAAAACATACATAGTGCTGAATGACACTGTGCAGGATTGTCCTCTGGCAAATGTCACAAGCTGTTTTTCTGAGCAGAATTGAAGGCTGAAAAGCAGTTTGGGGGGATGTTAATGGCTCAATTAATGCAGCTGTGTAGAAGACTGTGTTATCTGCATACAAATGAGTCTTAGCTGGCTTAATGTCCCCTCCAAGGATGGTTGAGGTATCCTGCTGACAGATTAGCAAGGCATTGGGAGTGAAAACATCACCTCTGCAGTGAAGATTCAACTGCTATCCCTGGTTTTTATCAGAACTGAATCTGATATGACTGGATGTGATGCTACGTGATTCTGACAGACCCTTCTTCTCCTCCTAACCAGGTAGAGATATGGAGTTTATCCTCACCAGGGAGATTTTATCATTGACAATTAGAAAAGCCGAGCTTCACCTTCAGCTTTCCAACCCACAACATCTGGACATCCGCCCACTGCTTCCATCCATGGTGAAGCACAACCTTCCTACAAGGTACAAACTTGTCCTTCCATATGAGATTCACTTCTTCGAACACAAATTCCTCTTTGGTGTCTTTGGACACAAAGATCATGATAAACTGATGGTCTTTGGGAGTTTCAGTCCTGGTTGTAACCCAGTTGTCTCTTGCTACCTTCAGGTTCAATGTGGTGTCGCGGGGTGACCTGGTGGAGCTGAAAGTGGATCTGCTGTTCCTTTTCCAGACTCTGCAGGAGGTGGCGGGTGGTGCCAGACAGGGTGCCAGCTTGGTAAACATTCGACGAGGGTCATTTTTCTCCAGTGGGGATCCCACAGGTGAAAAGCCCTCTTCAGCAGCTCCGAAGCACTCAGACAATGATGAGCAGGAGGATGGGGTTGCCAACACGCTGCCTGCTCTGGACCTCGGCTTGATTCTGAGCTGCAGTCAGGCCGGATCGGAGGTTTCCTGTGGAGCTGGCGGTGTTCACCTGTTTCACATGCCTTTTGTGGCCCTGTACCACAGATGAAACCGAAGTCCAGACTTGACTGTGTCCTGCATAGAAACATTTTATCTGCTCAGTCGAACTGAAAAGACAGATAGCTGTCTCAAAACTTAAAAGAGAAAAAAAGAAAAAAAAAGATGCACTTCAATGTAAAGTCTATTATTTATAAATGTTTTTGCAAACCCTATATTAATGTGTAAATTGTATATATAACATACTGTAAGTTTATTGTGTTTATTCTTTGGTTATTAAAACTCAATCTAACAATGGCTCATGTGTGGCCTCCAGAGTGATTAGATGTAGTTCAGTCTACTTTGTTCAGCTGTGTTCCTCTTTTAGACACACAGCACATTTAAGTTATGTGCTTCTGTTTAAAGAAGTTGTCACAGTTGGTGGGAAAAGGTGGAAAAAACAACACCTGGACAAACAAAGGGCTTGCACATGTGTTGTGAACATGCTGAACATAGCTATGACCACACTGCAACAGTGAAAGAAGTACTTTGATCCTGTACTTAAGTAGTGAAAAATACAGTAGAAACACTGTTACAAGTAAATGTCCCACATAAAAAATCATATCACTAAAAGTACAGAAGTATTAGTGTCAGAATATATTTCAAGTATTAGAGTAAAAGCAGATATATATATTATTTATTGATGTTAAGATTGTAGTGAATTTGTATTGCTTTACATACTGTTGGGTAGTTCAGTCTACAATAAAATAGCATAATGTATCAGTCTATTTATTTTTATTATAATAATCTGAATGTGCAAAACTAACTACCAACTACAGCTTTAAATTAAATGTGGAGAAATATAAAGTCCGGTGTTTGGCTTCAAAATATAGTGAGGTTGCAGTAGAAAGTAGCTTAACATGGAAATACTTAAGTAAAGTACAAGTACAGTACACAACAGAAGTCAATAAAACCCCATGCAGTATCATTTAAACGTCAAATGATGCAAAATTGTATTACCTCTCAATAACTGGATTGTTTTTAAGTTGATAAGTAGAGTATTTCATCTTTTGAACAATCAAAAACAGATACTCTAGAAAGGCTGCAATGAAAATACCTGCAAAAAAAGGTTTCAATTCAATGCAACAAAAGGTATTACACCCGTGATCACTGACAGACAGGTTAGAAAACCTGTGATTACTTAATACATCCACATACAGCATTGAGTATGCTTCTAAATAGCCCAATTGCCTGAGCATAGTTCTAAAATGAGTTGTGAATGTCTTCACTTTTGGACCTATGGGCTGTGACTGTATGTCTGCATTACTCCACATTGAAAAGAGGAACTAAAGAACCTGATTTCCGGACCCTAAACATATGGAAAAGGAAGAAGGAAGAATGGTGGTCAACTAAAAATCTATGAAAACACACCTGCAGCAGTAATCAGGAAGTAAAAAACAAATCATGGTATCATTAACTACAGCTGCAGTGGCAGACTTCCTAAAATGATACCAGGGACATTGTGCTACTTGCACGCTCTAGCTCTGAAAACAATGCTTCATACTAAGCAGAGGCGTTATCAGAGGAAATCAAGAGTTTCTGTGACAGCGATAGTGTGAAGGATGCTGCATGACATCGGAAGATGTCCAAGAACAAAATCCTTGATGGCTCTTTGGCACAAAACTGCAAAACAAAACTGCTAAAAACATGAAAAGAATCCTGATTGATACTGGGAGCACGTTCTTTGGCCATATGAGACCAAATTGAATTTGTTTGGCTCATTTGAGGTCCAGTATGTTTAGCATGAACCAGGCCAGGACTACCACAGTGAATGCATAGTCCCAACAGAGAAGCACAAGCGTGGGAGTGTGATGGTAGCTGAGGAGGTGTTGAACTGACAGATGACACCATGGATGTCCATGGATATACTAAACTACTAGCTGACACAGTGGCTCCCAGTCCACAGAAGTTTGACAGAAGAGAAATATTCCAGCACGGTAACAATTTGAAGCACACTGTCAAAAATTATACAAGAGCTTCTAAGGAAGTAAAACCTATAACCTGGCCATGTAGGTCACCCGACTTGAATCCAGTCAAACACCTTTGGGATATTTTTAAGAGGGAGATAGAGCTAGACGACATTTGATTGATTGATTCTGTTATCAGAAATAAAGTTTGATGTATAAGTATTCTTTAAAAAACTGAATCTCAGGGATGAAAGATCACTAACTTTCGTTAGAGTTCCTAGTGTGGAACCTGTATTTTTAATACAGTAAATCTAAACGTTAGTCTTTAATCTAACATAAAAGCAAATGCTGTTTTTTGTGTATTCAATTACTTGAATCATTTGACATTTGTGACATTGAACTGTTTTATGCTGTACATCAAAATTGTATAATACTTGGGTAAATGTACTTACATCCCCTCACCGCGACTCGTCAGGATGTATGATTTAACAGGTAGAGTTTTAAAGTATTTAGGCATTCACAAAGCTACATGTTTCCAAACATTCCCAACTTCTGATGTTGTGGATTTACAGGCAGGATACTAGTCATAAGACAAATTTAACTCAATTTAGCACAAGACTACTGTTAAATACCAAATGACCTCAAAGCAGCAACTCGGGGTGTTGGGAGTCAGAAAAACAGCAGCGACACGTTCTGATAAAATAGCACATTTATTAAAAAGAGACAGCATTTTTCAGCATTTCCCATTTTGCAGATATCTGCATCTGAGTCAGAAGATCAGGGGTCTCAAATACATTTCTCAGTCCACCTGCTGCTGCCTACAGCCCTCAGAAGAGCATGTATTTATCCAACACATGTGTATCTATAAGGTAGGACTCATATTGCGCACACACTCACTGTCTCACACATCCACACTGCGTTAACGGCGGCAGACCTTGTTGTTGGCGGCCTGCTGCCTGGACGATGGGACAAGTTGGCTGATGTTTCGCTGTTCAAATTCGTTTAAATTAATCTCACATGTTGAGTTGCTTTGAAGAAGAGAAAGAAAAAAAAAAAATAGCAACATGCTGAAAACAAATCTACATTAATTACAGAGCGATTCAAAAGACTTTTTCAGGTTGACATTTTTAAGAAGATTGGGTTCATGGCAGGAGAATTAGAAATTTGCTGACAAGACATGAATTGTTTGTTTCCCCTGGTTTATTTCACTGGTTGACCAGGTGAAAATAAAATGGGTGACAGAAATGAGGAACCGCTAGCATCCCACTGGGACACTGTGTTTAAGAATTTGGATGGAATGACAGCAATTCTTTGGTTCTCATGTAGGAAAAAAACAAACAAACAAACACTGAGAGCAGATCTTCATTCCACTCCAGTTCATTCAAGTGTGAGGTGTACTGACAACAACAACAACAACAGGTCTAAAAAGGAGGGATAAGACTGTTTGAAACAAGCTGTGGACATAAACGTTTTATACACTTTTCTTGATTGGCTTTGCTCCTAGAAAAGTTGAGGTTAATAACAGACCCAAGACATATTAATTCCACTGAATTAGTGGAAATAAGATTTCATTGTGTATCTTATTCCTAACTACAGCTGTTTGCGTGGAATGAAAATCTAGCCCTGAAAAGTGTTTAACAGAAAAGAAGAAGAAAAAAACAAAAAACGAGGCAATTTTTTTTTGATATAAGCCAACAAAAGAGCAACCTCAAGGCGAATGATGGTAAAGCACAATGTATTCAATAAGTCAAGGCAACAAAGACAAACACACAAAAAACCGACATTTAAAAATACATGAGGCAGTGCAAAATGTCACACCAATAAAATATCACGTTTTAAAAACTCAAAATAAAACAGATCCTGAGGAAAAAATTCAAACAAATCCAAGCGTATTATAAAATATCTCCAGGTCAGCCCCACTCTGATTTAAATTACATATAGTAGAATGGAAGATCCCATATTTTCAGATATAATCTCATCTATTTGACGTTCTGACAGTCAGTTCATCTGGCTGCCCGTTAAATTTTTTTTTTACTTATACTCTGTACCAACAACCGTTCCTCCCCAGAAGAAAGGCCACAAAGTCTTCCTCACGAGAAAATTTAAAAACCCTATCACCTCAGCTACGACACAAAACTGATGAGAACAGAACAGCTGTCACACGATAAAAAGTGTGATCTTGTACCTTTATATACACACGCGACTGTGTAGACTTACGGAGGAACAGAACACGGTGGCTTTGGTGCTGAATTAAATGAACTTTTTGCATCTTTTCAGAGGAAAGAAAGGTGCTCATATGTCTTAAATGTGAGTTGAGTTTACAACAAACAAACAAAAAAAGGAAAGAAAGGAAAGGAAAAAAAAAACCCAAAACATAAAAATTATCCAGAACTGCCAACAACTGACCAAATATTTTCTGGCACAAACTTCTTGCCCACCATCAATCAAAATGGGAAGGAGAATCAAGGAGTGAGGAAGGATCCACAACACCTGAATTATTAATCGTTTTCCAAGCACTGCTTATGGCAACAGCAGTACTGGTGAGGGGGAAGGGGGAGTAGGGGGAGGGAGGGCATTTAAGACGCATTAGTGAAACAGGCAAAGTTACAAAATCGTCCTTGGAGTAGAGCTAAGCACTTAAGGGAGGTAACTAGATACATAAATAGGAGGGTTCACAACAACTTCACCAAAACTGAAGAACAAAGCTGCTTTTCAGCCTGCATGGAAAGCTAAAAAGAATATCATGGTCCAAAGACTCTGATAACATGGCCATGTAGAAGGAAAAAAAAAGGCTCAAAGAATACATTTTGTCCCTCGTTCAATTCAAGGAGCAGAACATGTAGCTTAATTGCACTGAAAGTTCACACTGAATGGACGAAACAGTACAGCCCACACTGAAAAGATTTAAGACAACGGAACTAAAAAGGCTGACACAATGTGGAGACTTGAATGATGTAGAACATCTGGTAAACATCGAATTTTCTACCTACACTAATGTTGTGCTTTCTCACCTCTTATGGCAGGTGGACGAACTTGCTGAATGATGTATAAAACGAGTGCATTGACTGGCACAGATTAGTTTATTACATTAACATTGAGGTGCAGCGGCCGGTTCTCTCGGTTTAAGATTGGAAGTTATGGCTCATCAGAGTCAACACAGTATTCTGCTGTTAAATCAAAGACACTAATTTCTGACGAAACACAAACAAACAAACAAAAGTATGCCAACTTAACCCCCGTTTTAGACACTGATGTAAAAAGTGGAGAAACTCCTCGACTTAGTCACTTGTCTTTATCAATTTTAGATGAAGATATGCTGTACGCTCAGTTTAACTGCTAACCACAGAGGACAACACAGAATCGAATCAAATTTAACAGGCCACCAAGTTTTCCGTTTTTCTAACAAAATAATTAAAAAAAAGACATTCTTTGGTGAAACAAAAAGGCAGGCATGCATCATGAGTGAATGAATAGAAAAAAAGGCAGAGATTACATAAAATACAGTGACGTAATGATCCTGACTCACTGGAGCGTAAGCATTTCACAGCATAAACTTTGCCTCTCACTAAATACAACTGTTGTGTCCCTTACTGAAAGAAACTGTTCTGTTAAAGGTTCAGTGTGTCAATATTAAAATGGATCCATCCTTGGAAAAAAATTCTACAAGGACTTTCAATTTGTGATCGCTGCAGAGGACACTTGAATGGCCCTGAATCAGTATTTGGTGGAACAAAGCCAAAGATGTCTATTACGCATGACCACACGTCACTGACAGATTTGTGAAACCCAACCTATGTTTATGTAAAGGCAAGCTGACTTAGACAGCAAATGAGCCCACCAGCGGCAGAGCTGGATCAACACTAATTTCCTCCTTCTTTAAGCATCTTGTGACAAGTAGATGATGGCACATCAACAAAAGGACTAACCGTCTGATTCATGGTTTCTATTCTATTCAACCAATTTCTAGGCAGCACCATTTCCAATTTTAAGGTAACATGTCTGACCAGATGCTGAGCAGGAGTGTTAAACAGAGTGTGCTTCCTGGCTACACCCAGTACAAAACAATGCTTTTACTTTACAAAATGGGCCCAGACCAATCACTCCTGAGCATCCCTTAGCTGCGCAAATGTGGTTTCAATCCATGAAGACTGGCGTCTGTAAATCTTGCCCAGCCTCTGAGTGGAAATGACTAACATTGTTCAAACGGGTCAGCAGAGGTGGATGCAAAACACATTCACAAAGAAGCGCACAGCATACACTTCCTACATCTCCTGTTCTTCACTCGATGGTACTATATCGACAGCAGCGTTTGCTTCACCTCGCAGTGGCTTCCCTAAAAGTTATTGTCTCTTTGTGTCGTCCTGATTTTCTCCAAGTCTTCGGCTCTCTCCTGTGTGTTTGCTTTTTACCTGTGCTGCTGCTGCCACCTTGACCTCCCCTCCCCCATCCCCCCTCCCTCCCCTTCTCTCTTCATTAGGCCCACGTCCATCTTATCCTCCTGACGTCTCCTCCACCGACGGTTTCAGCTCACAGCCGGCAGAGGCAGAACAGTGTGGGGATGAACACCCCGAACGCAACGAGGATGGGAAACATTAGGCTGCTGTTGTCGGCTGCGTATGGGTTTGGTGTTCGCGGGCCGGACTGGACCCTGTACTTGGAACCTGTTGGAACCTTTTTCTTGCCGCCTTCTTCGCCTCCTTCACTATCTTCCTCTTCTTCCTCCTCCTCCTCAACCTTCCTCTCATCTATGCCTGGGTGAGGCTGAAGTTTTGGTACATCTGATAAGTGAGAAGTGAAAGTTTGGATGGGTGATGTTAGTCCAAATCACATCAAAAAAACAGATACATAAATAGTCTGGAAAAACAAGTTGTACAGAACATTGCTACAACCGTGTCTACAACTTAAACATTCAAATCTACTTAGCTTTGCTTTAAAATGCTGAGGAGTACACTTGCAATCTCAGGACTCACCTTCTAATGTCCCCTTCATTACATAGAGAGCACAGACCTTGGGGTTGTCATAATAACCCTGAAAAAAGAACAGATCAGTGAAACAGCAGTTGCATCAGTGCCAAATGTAAGCTAAGGAACACTGAGCCTTTGTGAACAAAATGTGTTTAATGCCACACAGGAATAAAGATAAACCCAGTTTCTAAAATCCTCCACCATCATTTTTACTTTCAACTGATTGGAGCTCTGTTATCTTAGTATGATACACAAGTTGACACAAAAACAATTGTTAAATGCTTTTCTCCATTTTTTTAAAATCTAAATTTATCGCACTGTATGAATAAAAGATGAGAGAATCAACATTTGATGCAGCTGGATTTCAGCCAAACAAGTAACAACACTTTTCCATTTGCAAAAAGAGCAGACAGTGTGTCCCATTTGTATCTTTTCAGAGAGGAAAAGCAAAGAGGGCCAGTGATCTACAAAAAAAAGTCACTGCAGAAACTTTTCTGAAGTATGCCACCATACAAATTTAGCCTACAGTCACATGTTCTATAAACCTACTAACAAGCCAATAGTGTTCATTGTTAGAGCCCACAGCTTAAAGCAATACTATTTGTATTTACAGAGGGAAAAAAAGAACACAGATTTTTTTTTTTTTTTTTTGCTATGGCTTGCAGCGATTTGATCAATATTTGTGAGTAGGTGCTGAATTTAACAGGATCTCTGACCGAGTATAAAGGTGCAAACAAGATTAAGTATGCGCCAAATGAACACTGACATGATGATTCTACTTGAAAGGCATTCTGTGGAAATAACACTTAAACACATTTATTTTAGGGCATTGTAGAAATATTTCCTGATAATAACAAAGGCATGTTGGTAAGCTTTGTAGCAGATGAATTTGATCTGGCTGACTTGAATTTAAAAAAACAAACAAAAAAAACTCAACCAAAGGTAAAGTGAAATATTCTACAATGATCAGCCATTTGCATACAGACAGGAACAGCAGTGGCTGGACTTGAATATGAATGAGCTCTGCTTAGGATGGATTAAAGCCAACGGATAGATAATGTCGTTTGCAGATTTAAATAACTTATACATATGTCTACATATAAAATTCTGCACTACAGCAGAGCAGTAAGGTACCAGAGTAAACACATTAGCAAACACCTGGTTTGCACCAGAAACCCCTAAATATGCTTATCTCTATTTCCTCTCTTGTATCAATGAGCATGAAGGGCACATGGTTTGTTCTGCAAGGCCACATTTTGAGGCACTGGCTCGACACAGAGCCCGTCTCCTACGCCTCTTCCGTATGTAGTAAAGTACAGCGTTGATGAAGGATAATGTGAAGGGGAATCACTGAAATCAAATTACTAACAGCGTCGCTGCTACATGGCCATGGGAATACATGTTTAGTGTAATAGAGAAGTGAAAGAATTACTGCTCTGACCACAAAGACAGCAATAGGTAAGAGGCCATTTTTATTAGATTTGGGAGATACAATCATGGCCTGCATAGCTTTTTAAGAATCAGGGGACCGAATGATCCATCTAACCTAAACAGCCACCACAGGGCTGGTTACACAGATAGGAGTCTGAATGTACCTAATGCACAAAGTTGTTTAGTTCTTGATTGTTTTAAACAGCACTAATTTTCTATGATTGCTGGATAAATTAAACCTAATTTTCAATCTCAAAACTGGTCCTGCCTGTACCACTGCTTCAAAAGCCTGTGTTCTCTCCATCAGAAAACTTGTCACTCCCACTACTGACAGAAACATTAAAAATATTCAAAGCAAGATAAAAAAAAAAAAAAAACATAGTTAAAGATGCACAGTTTGAATTATTCAAAAGGAAAGAAAACACTGATGAGGAGGACCACCTTAGGAGTGCTTACAGAGACTAAGGGATTAAGTTGAAGATATATTGTGGGCAGACAAATCTGTTTCAAGGGATGAATGGTGGCCAGGAAAGCTGAGTTTGTGGGGTCACCAGGGATCTTTCACCTGGCATTCTTCCACCCACACTGCCAAACGTCAGTACTGATGGCAACCCATCCCACCAGCAGGGAGAGATGGAGGCTAATGACAGCCAAGAGGTGAACCCAGAGAACATTGGGAAGTAATGACTTCTTAATGGCTACATTAACCCTGCTGAAGGTAAAAAGTTGTGCTTTGCTGTTTGGGTACGCTACTAACACAATTAGTTAGCACGTATAAGTGATTGTTACACAGGTCTTAGTTCAGGGTGAGCCTGGTGGTTCACTCATTAGGCTTAGAATAGAAGACTGTCTAATTTGCTCTGTACTAACCTAAGAGTCAAATTTTTCTTGGTCTAGCAGCCATATGGACCATCATTTCCTGAGTAACACTAAGCAGAAATAATATCCATAACAACAGGAATATTAATAGCACTTTTTAAAATTTATTTATTTCTTAATGACTGACGTAATGGTTTAATGAGAGCAAAGTCAAATTCTGCTGAACATGACAAGTAAACAAACATGATAAAGGCCGCCCAGACAGGAGACTATTGTCTATCACCTGCACAGGTCACACACTACTGGCTGTGTAAAGACCCTTTCAGAGACGGACTTCATTTTCATCATAAATCATAAATGTGCTGTCAGTTCTACACATATTTCCTGTGTCACTTTACCAAACAGGTCGTGATGGCAATTTCTCTACTCGGCTCAAATCGGAATATTAAAGGGACCAGCCGAACATTTTATGAAACAAATTTTTGTTTTAAAATAATTTTAAAAATGCAATGCGTAATACATTGATGTGGTATGTCAGTACTCCAGGTGTGGGTAAGCAGTGGACAGAGCCTGGACAGCTACACATCACAACACGTCCTTGTGTAGCGTAGATTAGCTTTACAGTGTTTGAGCAAAGTTGTAGGTAAGCTGCTGTGCTGAGCTGCAGTGCATCAAGGCCATGATAAGAGAGCAAGGAATGATTTTAACTGACATCCTGGATTTTCATTAATATGTAACTTAGAGTCAAAGAGATGGGTTTTTGGTTTCAATCAATAACTGAAAAGGAACTTCAACAGATAGATAAGGAGGAGGTATCAATCTGCTCATCTATAAGCAGGAACGAGAACATTATTCTTTCCCAAAATGCCCAACTTGTGCTTTAAATCTTGTGATTAGTTGTGTTCTTAACATTAGGATGCATTGATTTATATTTATGCCTATACTCTCTTAAAATTAAGTTCTTTAAATATAAAGCAACGTTACCTGTATATTATCTATTCTCCTAACCTCTGGTAATCTTGAAGTAATAATATGAAACAGCCAGGACATTTATTAGAGTATTGGAATATGCTTTTTGGTACTTATGTGTCATAATGTACACATGTCATTATTACAAGCTCTTTATATTTAACAAAGAAAATAATTAAAACTCAAGTTTTTCACAATGTTTATATTGTATCTGTGCCACCTCACAATTCAAGGTAGATTTGTCTGGCAAAATAAGCAAGCTGACAACCCCTTTTCACTGACCAGCCACCTACAGAAATTGCTCAGATAATTCAAATAAACACAACTCACCTTTACAAACTCCACAGTGAGCTTGCCATTAAAAGTGGACACCTCTCCTTGCACACTCAGCTTGCCTCGTCTAATAGAAAAGGGCACTATCTCATCATGAGCTGTACTGTGACCCACTCGCTCAAAGATATCCAGGTCCTTTACCACCATATGGCCGTTTAGACGGACGTCAAACACCTAGAAACATATTTCCAAGTTAGTAATAATTAACAGCTCACAAACACATCCTCACATTGATGATATTTATAACGTGCACTGATATTCAGACAACTTATGTCATACTGTATGAATGCCATTTGAATAGGGAAATGAGCACTGAAAATGCAAAAGGTGTAAATATGACATCCTTTACACACTACACAAGAGCTAGGAAAAAAACAATACAAGCCCACAAAAAGTCTGCATATAGAAAAACTTTAAAAAGATGAGCTTAATGCATTGATTTTCCATCCAAACTCTGAAGACAAAAATGATCACTTTAATACACACATGATTTAACATCTTATGTCTGATCCATTGATTTTCATACCTTTTGCTGTGACTGAGCAAAGTAAACCTCTGCATACTTCATAACTAGTATATAGTCTCCTTCCTCACGAATGGGAATATCATATCCAAAAGTGTCTTCATTGTAGCGCTCTGTCTGGTACAGAATCTGGTCCTCTGGACTGGAGCGCAGTATTGGCAGACGCACCCCATAATCAGATGCTACAAAGGAGAATAACATCAGGCTCAGTGTGCACTTTGCTCACAAGACCTCCTTAATAGCAGCAATACTGGAAAACTTATGGTTTAAGTCAAGCAGAGCACCACATTGCACAACCCATGACCTTTTCTTGCACTCAGTGTAATACTGTGCTATTCTGACTCAAATACCAAGTTACCACACTGTGATCCCTCAAGCTTGCAATAACAGTATCCCTGGCTCATGAAAGGAGCCAAGAATGACTCTCTGCAGTCAGTCTGATCATAAGAATACCTGATCCTAAGAGCTTCAGGGTCATTTTATTAAAGAAATACATCACTGCCTGCCACCTGAACCCTTAACAGTCAGCTGGGTTTTATGTACAATAACTTTAAGATTTTTAATGAAGTGGTGCAAAAATTAACCTTAATACGATGTATATTTTACAAGTTACAGGCCCTTGAAGTACATAGGAATGGGTCAAATTTTGCACTTTGTAATTTGTGTGATTTTTTTTTCTCCAAGCATTTCCTCATTACTTTGTAATTACAGAAGGTAGCTACAGGAAATTATCAGTGCTGTAAAACACATTTGAGCTCTGTTAAAAAATGTAATCAAATCAATTTTACATCCAGAAGTCATAATACAAGACAAAAAATAATAATCTTGTATCATAGTTTTAATTGCAAAACTGCACCAGTTTAATATCTATGACAGAATGACAGAAGCAAGCATTGGTATCTTGGACGTGTTATCCATTTCCTGAAAATTCTCCAAAGACAACTTTTAAGACATGAATTTTGGTTAAACTTTCAAGTATCACATCACCATTTGGGAAAAGTGGTTGGTCAAAGAAGTTAGCTCAAATGAAAGGTCTCCTTTACCTACATTTTGATACCAGGCTCTAGCCATGATTCAGACTGTGTCAGAACAATTATCTCATGCAACACTTCGAAGAGCCAGTTCAGAACTGAAGAAGACTGTTGGATTAGGGTTAGGGTTAGAACCTAAGAACCAAAAAAGAGAAAGTCCAGCTGCTTTTAACTGAAGCTCTTAGGATTCGCATGACCTGGTGAGATCCTGCTCTGATCTATGAATACCTGCTTCCTCTCCATGTTGAGAGGGGCGGGGCTGTAGCCCTCAATGCTGACTCCTCATTAGTTTGTAGTGACTTGCGGAAGCAGGACCATGCAGGGGTTTCTGCAGGAAATGTCTGTTACACTGAGCAACACCTTTTACCTTCGCAATGTCACTCCAAGCAGCACCTTGCAGGTGAAGCCCAGCAAAGCACACTCACACATATTCGCAATTAACCGCTGATAACTCACCTTTGCCAATTTTCCCTTCCAACGGGTCCTTTTTGAAGTGAATACCGTGCATGTCTGTGTGCGCTTCGCCCCCGGCATTTACAGCCCAGATAACCCGCTCAGCGACGCTGGGGCCCCCGCCGTCCGCCCAACACTGCTCGGACAGCAGCGACAGCACCGCTGCGAGCAGCCCGGCGACGAGCTGCGCCGTGACCCGCTGCATTGCCTCACACAGCCTGCTCCTGGACACAGAGACAGCCAGCGTCGGTAACTGCTTGCATGCGGCACAAACTCAGTTGTTGTATCGAAGCAGCCCTCCCACATGTGACATTAACCGCACAAGAGCTAGCCAGCTTGTCCGGATGACATGAAACGTGATATCTGTGAGTTAGCCAGTATGCTAACAGGACCAGTACCGGCAGAAGCGTTTGCACAAAAGCCCTCAGTCCCGGAAAATGACACTGAGATTACAAACAAGTCTGGCTCAAACGTTTATGACATACATCATTTGTAGCTAGTAGGCAAACACTAAAACACAACGAGAAATTGGCAACATTGGTTAGTTAGCTGGGCTAGCTAGCCAACCTACCTGTCTAACCAGAAATACTTGGTGAATGAGAGCCCGGCTACGGCAATGCAAATGTCTCTTACCTTCCCCTTCCACAAATATCTCCAACCTGCCTTCTGCCAATGTGTATGCTGCTGAAACTGACTCGCCAGGTGCCTACAACCTACACTGGAGGATAACTTTGCTGTGTGCAGATATTCTCAGCTGGCCACAGCCTTCTACACTGACTTTCATTCAATGTGTGCATCTAAATTAACATTTGCTGAGCTGCTAGCTGCTACACTGGCAGAGTGCAGGGGGCGGGACAGCGCTACCTAACCTTCCCCTGCGCCGTGATTGACAGGCGCCCCGTCCAATCACAGCGCCCCGTCCAGGCTTCCTGAAGCGTTAAACACATTTCATATCACAGACCAATCACGTCCTGCTTTGTTGTAACTAAATGAAAACAACGTTTTTTTAATACTTGAAAGAAAGGAATATCATCGAATATGAGCTTTCTGGGTTGTTAACTATTTATCCTCGCTTATTAAGCTCGACTGACAGACTGACAGACTGAAGCCTGTGTCTTTTTTCCACGTCAAGTGAAAACTGAGATTTTAGTGCCCTGAGTTTGGCCTCAGAGGCAGCAGGCAGGCAGCGAGACAGACCCAACCAGAAACCAGATACGTTATAGTCCATGTTTTATGTTCAGAACAATGTTAATTTTCCATAAAGATCACAAGGGTTACAACGGGGAACAAAACCTACCGTACTTTAATGAAACCAGCAATATGCTAAAAGGGGTATTTTGTAGTGTTAACCTCCGTCCAGTATTCACTGTTTACCTTACGTTGTTGTTATAGATGGATTCATTTGGATTAATCATCTTTACTGTGTCTTCTAATGACCCAGGGCCAATATATGCCATTTATATACATATTTTAAATATCAATTAATGGATGGCAGATTTTCAACAGCTCAATCAGGACAAAAGTATAATCTTGGTCACTGAAACTCTAAGAGGGAAACCTAATGTGAAATTGCAGCACCAGCACTAAACCAATGGCAAATTAAAAACTCAGGAGTCGTCTTTGGCTCACATCTCAATTTTAACCCTTATCTTTGCAGCAGAGTTTCTCTCAGCATGTTTTTGTTACCTGCAGGACTGACTATCATAATGCTCTCCAACCTATCTTCCCAAGATGAACTTCAACTGCTCTAAAACTCAGCAGCACATCTGTTGGCTCAGACCAGAAGGATATAGCACAATACATCATTTATAAAGTCTCTGCATTGAAGATCTGTCTGTTTAACATTTGATTTAAAGATCCTTGTAGTGGTTTTAAGAAGTTGTAATTGTCTTGGGCCTACCTTTTAAGTGGTTATGTGTTTATCTTATGAATCCTCCCTCTTGTAGTGGCCTTTTCATTAAACCAAAAGTCAGAACAAAAACTCACAGTCAGGCATCCTGTTGTTATCATGACTTACATCTGTGGAACAGCCTTCATTGTTACTTTTGTTAAAATATTAGTATTTATTTACACTCTTGACTTTGTTTTATCTGGATTCTATTACTTCAGTTTTTATCATTGTATTATTTTTCTTTTCTAAACTGTATTTATCTTGTCCGTGGTGTTCCCTTGTTGCATCTATTTACCCTCAGTTCCTCCAACCCTGTTTTTAAAAATTCTTCATTTATGACATAATGTTTATGGGGATGTGGGAGGGGTATTGATTTTTTGTTTATTATTATTCCTTCTGTTCTCTGAAGCACTTAGTGTTACATTTCATTTGTATGGAAAGTGCTGCACAAACTAAGTCTGATTGATTGACTGAACCTCTCCAAAGGCTTTAACACGGTGTGTTATTGGTCCAAGTACCGTTCGAGACAAAGCTCGCAGCTATACTCACCAAAACAACCGAAGGTATGATATCTTCAGCTCCCTGTTCCCTACCTTGTATTTAGTTAAGCCACTGGACTATTTTCCACACACTATTACTACACGTGTTCTTTAAGAAAACGTCACGCCCCCGTTTTTCCGGTATGGTACGGTCCAAGTTTTGTCCAATCAGGAGCGTCCAACGCAACGCGCACACGGTGCACTGGAGAATTGACCGGAGAGGGATGAATGAAGAGTTGCTATGGCAACAGCGATACAGCTATGGATGACAGGTGTCTCATCATCGCTCTTTACCTAACAATGCGTGGTGAACATACGTTGAGATACCTTCTATCCTTTAAATTAGGCCCAGTATAGTGCCACTGTTTTCTGCAGCTGGTGCACTAGATGTATCAATATTTGCAATAAATTTACAATAAATGCCCACAAAGTCATAATGTTTACACAAAGTACTTAGCATAAGCATATGTGCAAACATTTGTTACTGTCAGCTTGCTGCTGTCACATGCGACAGTGTTTCTGTGGAGGACAAGTGGCCTGGAGGCATCCTGCCATAGTGCAGGTTTGTCGTGGGTGTTGCAGTGCATGCCATTCTCTCTGGATGAAAACTTGTTCTTGCACTTACACTTTAGTAATAATACACTCAGTGTACCTATTTTGGATTCTATCACAACCATGCACTTAAGTTCTCAAATAGTTTTAGCTAGAAAGTGACTGCAGTTACACGTAACTGCTCTCCAAAGCAGACGAGCATCTCTTGATGAAACAGTTACTGCTTAATGTCTCACTACCAAACACTTTTGAAATTAAACAGACTAAATTTGTCTGAAGTCACAAAGAGACATTGCAGTTTTCTGTTTTCATTTGTTGCCCTGCACAAGGACTGCAGTGTTGCTGCAGGTAAAACATGCCCAGCCTGCAGTCTTACCGAGACACGTATGAATAATACATGTTATAAGGAGGCTTGTCCTGCAGACATGCAGTGACAGCAGTCAGTGCCACACTAATATACTTATAAATTAAACACAGACAAAAAGTCCACACCAAATTTGGCTGTTGTCAACGTATGTTTTCATTTGATGTCTAAATAGCAAACCATTTCTCTATTACATAGTGCCTGTATTTTCCTTGGCAACATCACCACAATATAAATGTAAACACCTTTTATTTATCTACAGTTAACTTGGCGAAATATTTTGTTTACTTTGTTAGACAAAAATGCAAATGTGCATACTGAATTTAATAAATGTCTCTCTTTGGCATGCATAAAAATGTCTTTGACAACACAAATGTGTGGAACGTTACCACAACTACAATCATAATGACACTGACATACAATACATTTACAACATGAACACATCCACTGTACAGTTCGCATGTGTCATTCCTACTGTATAATCTCAGACAGAGCAAAATGGATCTTCAAAAACAGCTATTACTTGCTCCCAAAGTTAGATTAGAGACTCTGGGAACTCAAACCTGCAAACATTTTGCTGCAAACCGCAGTGGGCTAGTGTCAATGAGGACTTTGGTTCTCTGGATTTGAGCTTTGAAAGAGAGCTGTACATCTTATCATTTTGTAAGTGTTGTTTCAACTGCCCTTGATCTCAGACTCCAGTGAAGAACAGATGAAAGGCATTTCAGAGTCTCGTGAATATGAGAGCTCTTTGTCTTTGCTGCATGTCAGACAGTGATGTTTTTAACAGATTGGACTGGCACAGTGAAAAATCACCTATGGTCACACAGATACAACACAGATGTGATATTGCCACATGGGTTCCTTGGTGGAGCACCAATGTCACACAAAGGTGGTTCCACTTACAAGTTCTAACATAATGCATACTGTGTGAATATATAGTGAAATCTTCAACAGTGCACTGATCATCAACTTCTTTCTACATACATTCAATCTCCCATTCTGACGTTGTTGTACATCGAAGGCGACAGTTTGCAAGACACTTATCTATACCATGGAGAGGATGAGACAGGACACCAGCAACCTATCCACACAGGAAGATATTTAGTGAGAATTAAAGTGCAAAAACATAAATTAGACAATCGTCAGCTAGGCTACAGCAAATTCCGCCTCAGTTGAACCGGAGACTTTTCAGGAAGAACACTTATTGATTGAAAGTGTGAGGTGACTCCTCGCTCCAAAACATTCAAGGAGTTTCGATTCCAGTGTCATTCAGATTTGGATGGCTCAGAGGGTCTTAGCTTGTCCTGTGTTGTACTTGGTCTAGTTTAGAGAAGGACACAGCTTCACATTCAGGACTGATCATCTCCATGATCTTAGCGAGACATCATTCGTACAAACTCTGTGGAAAGAGAGGAGAAGGAGGAGGAAGATGAAATGAAACTATTGAGCCACATGCTACAGCAGTGGCGCCCAAACTGAGGGTCAGGCCCCTTTAGGGAGTCATGAGATAATGAGACAGGTTGCAAAGTGATTTTAAGAAATTGCATAGAATTTAAGAGCATTTAGAAATGAAGGAAAAAATGTGAGTCTGCTACTTTTACATACTGTATGTTTACTCAGTACTGTAGTGTAAACATAGAGATTACTTTGATTGATCCATTCTGCTAGTATTCTATACTCGATTACTATAAAATATTATTATGGTTGTTAGGCTGTTGTGTTATTTTGTGTTGTCATAAAATCTGTGTTTGGGTTGGCCTATGAGTGTCTGTACATGACTGCACACAATGCTGAAATTGCTTTATCCACCTCCAGAGATAGTTGGGGTTGTGAGTCTCTTGGGACCAAAAAGTTGGGGGACCCCTGCACTACAGTATACCTTAATGTTTTCATATTGTCCCTTTATCAGCAAACTGATCAAGGGCACAATATGAGAACTTCAGGGTATACTGTGGTGCAGGGGTTCCCAAACTGATCAAGGGAGTCTCACATATCTCCACAGTGTGTCTTTCAAAATTTTAGCTGAAAATACTGAAAAGATGGTTTATTTCACTGTGACTGTATAACTCCTGGTTTCAGGGCTGTTCTAAATGGGCTGTCTTGCTCTGAGAACCAATGAGCTGCTGCTGCTGTTGCCGCCCCCTTCAGGAAGAATATGCCATCTGCACCAGTTCATGCTGGATGACTATTGGTCAGTCATGTGTTGTGTAGGATCTGGGTAGAATTCTTACAGGCTTGTAAAGCTGGGAGGCTAACTAGTTGTAAGGGGACTTGAGTAAGGGCAGCAGTCAGTGTCCTCAAATCTTAACCGTCTTTATTTTACACCTTCACATTTCTATTTATTTATAAAAATAATAAAAATAAATTTTCACCAGATGAGACCTTTAAATAATTAGTTTGTGAAAGCTGTTTTACCTTCAAAGTCAACAAGTCCGTCACCATTCAAGTCGACATCCCTTAGGATATCTTCTACCTCCTTCAGACCTACCTGGAATAAAATAAACAGATTGGCAGAAGTGAGTGGAGCACCACACACAGTGGCTATTCATTCAAGAACATTTAGAGGCTCTCTGTTTTCTCTCTCTGATCCAAATCTTACTTGTTGGCCCAACAGCTTCCTCATTGCATCCCGCAGCTCAGAGGTGCTTATAGCACCATCTCCGTTTGTGTCAAACTGAGAACAACAAGCAGAAAGGCAACATGTAAAACAAAAATTAAAGTTAAAACTGCACAGCAGAGACCAGTGCAACTGAAACCAGTTATCTGAATGTGAATCCAGACAGTCTTACCTCCCTGAATGCGTCTTTTAACTCCTTTATTCCGATCATGTCTGCAGTTTCAGCGAGAAGTTTTGGGCCCATCAGCTCTACGAAATCCTCAAAATCCACATGACCTCCCACTTAACACAAAGAGATTTTGGCTCAGAATTTTAGACCTCATTGACCACAGAGGATACAACTGTATGCATAAAATATAAATATATAGGATAGTTATGTCCTTACAGTTCATGTTTATCTGCTGGCTCAGTTCTATCAGCTCCATCTCAGTAGGCATGTACCCCATGGTCCTCATACAGTTTCCCAGATCTTTACAGCTGATGAACCCGTCCTTGTCTTTGTCAAACTCTTTGAAAGCATCTCGCAGCTCTGTTATAACAGAAGTCATATTCATAATTGAACTGCATGGCTCTTATCTTACTCACATTGCACTTATGAATACAAATTCTGGCTTCACACGTGCATTTACATACGGATTGAGCAAATCATTGATATTTAATTAAAATTTGCAATATACAATAACCAAATTACAGGTGCTGCAATTTTTTGATAAAGAGAAAATCTGTCATATGGTAAATTAAACATTTTGGTGGTACAGGGCTGCCGTGGTTTGTAAATAATATATTCCACATATAAGGGAACATGTTGTTTGGCACAGCCCACAGTAAAAGTTAAGTCATTATTTACCTATTTTCTTCAGTGGAAAAGAAATGTTAAAACATCAATTTCTACAAATTCTTGACTCACATTGCAATTGCAGCATCTGTCAAAATAATGGCAATATGATTTTTTTTTTTGCATATCTTTCAGTCTTAACTCACACGTTCATTTAAATTTACTTTGTTCTGTAAAACACATTGACACCTCTTGTTGTTTAATTGTTTTAAAAAATACATTTTTCTTTGACTGATTAGGTTCAGCACAAAAGGAGAAAAGGAATATTAAGGGAAAAAAACTTACCATCCATTTCTTCTGGCCTCAGCTCTCTGTCCTAATGAGAAACAAAATTTGATCATTTGTTAGTACAACACCAGATTAATGACACATGCCCAACACATACATCATGACACATCATAACACTCTTCTGTATATGAACTGGTTGCAAACAAACCCCTGACAGCGCTGTGACTCGACTGATGCCCAAATCTAAATCGGCAATCTTCTCCATAACAATCCTCAGTCTTCCTGTGAACCTTGGCTAAACGATGCCTCTCAGTGAAAGTGGTTACAAGCAGACTGAAACTATCTCACATCGTGATGACAAAACTTCCAGGCATAAACAGGCTGATCCCTATCAAGCATGACTGGGAACTATAACCCTGATGTTCACACAAGAATGTGACTGTTTCTTTTCTTTTTTTTTTCTCCTCCAGCGCTTGCTTACAATGAACGCAACCTTTAAAGGGCAGAGAAGGAGGCAGACATATCCCAGAACCCTGAGGGGTTAACAGCAGGAGCAGTGAGAAGTCTAAACACAACACTGAGTGCTGACGTCGGGCCTGAATAACTATCTGACCGGAACCACTGACACAGAAAACACAGGAGGCACATGAACCCAAAAAACCAGCCGACCCAACACAAATGCATTCGGCGCTCCGTTTGTCAATGCATTAACCATCAGATTGGATCAATTTGCACAAAAACCTCCATCACTCTGCTGTTTTCACTGACACATTAAATGTACAAAATCCTAAATCCACTTGTTCTTTTCATGAAAATAATCACCACAATCAATAAACACATACTGCAGACAAACACATGAGCTGTGGATTGTGCAGGTGATGTGAAAATGAAAAGGAATCATTTGGCTTTTTGAGAAATATAGTTTTTAGCTTTTTCTCAGAAAGAAGACAATATTGATGCCACACTCATACTTGCGAGGAACATTTAAAGCTACAGCCAGCATCCACTTAGCTTAGGTTGGCACGAAGAGTGTAAATGAAGGCAAACAGCCAGTCTGGCTCTGCCTAAAGGTGACAAAATCCACCTATCAGCATCTCTAAAACTCACAAATTAACATGCCATATCTTTTTCTATGACATGGCAGATATGATAAAGTCTTGGTCAACTAATAGCTTGACAAATAACATCCCATAAAACCATATCGCTCTGGTATTACGATTGTTTGCAAGGATTAAGCAAACAAGGCACAGCATGTTAATTAGTGACCTTTTGAGGTGCTGGCAGGGTGTGATCCTTGGACAAGGACAGACTTGCTGTTTGCCGCTCTGTGCAGTCCTAGCTGTAAACTCATTTAAGCAATTTAAGGCTCCAGGTTCATATTTAACTGACAGACCTAAAACAAGTATCAATCTTCTCATTTAACTCTCTGAAAGAATGCAAATAGGCCTGTTTCCCATAATGTCTAAATATCCCTAGAATGTTTTGTGCACTCACAGCACAAACAGTTTTGTCTCTGTAAGCTGCACAGTGCATCTGCATGGCTTCACCTGTTTAACACGTCACCTGTTTCAGCTTGAAAGGTTAGAAACTGCTGATCTACAGCAGTGTACCAAATGTAAGGACTGCTGTAGGGTTCATGAGCATTGCATTTATTATTTGTGAGCTTCTGGTTCAGTCATCTTTCTCACTGGACTGTTCCCTAATCACAGCTGACAGGATACCACTCAAAAGATCGATTTTGATGGAAAACAGGGTCTCTACAACCTCGTGGTACAGTTATAACTCCGGATTATGTGACAATAATATAAATCCTAGCTTTATTATGAACACAGTAAATGAAAAGGGTGTTTGTCCAGACTTACGTACAGTCTGCCTGCACTTTTCCATGCCTTTACTCAGGAAGACACAAGTTTGTCCCAGTATGTTGCTCATGAGGACGCAGTTTTGAGTCATGGACACAATGGAGTCCTGATAAGGCCCAAGATAGCCTGACTGGACCATCTCCTCACAGGATAGCACCCCTCTGAATCTCCTCTCAGCATCCTGGAGCATCTTTTCCAGGAAGGGGATGCAGAGACAGAGCAGAATGGAATATAAATATAAATTGAGAAAGGATTTGTGAGAATGGAATGTCAGCGTCGACTCTCTTTATTCTTTACAAAATGTTTTAAATACAAAGACACAGCTGTGCTTGTATACTACGGCACAGTCATGGTTAAGTATTTTCTGTGTGTGTGTTTTACAAGTGCATACGTAAGAGAAACAATGTTGAAAATATGAAAACATGACAGAAAGGTAAATGCATCAATAAAACAGCATGTTGCCAACTTTCCACTCATCGTTCATAACAGTTTACTTGCCACGTTGTGCGGACTGGCACCTCACACCTATACACTGTCACAGGAACAGTAAACACACTCAGAAGCAGAGAATAGGCGAGCCGAGGCACCAGAGACTGAGCTACATGTGTTGTCATCACGAAAAGACGTTGTGCTTTCAGGACAACAGGACATGTTTTCTTCTAGGACATTCAGTACTTTTTTGAAAATAGTTCCTGTTGCACACCGAAGGTCTGCCAAAGTCTGAAACCATTAATCTAAATACACAAACTCCACTCCAGAGCCAACTATACACAGTGCAGCGGAAGGATAGGTTTCACTGCAAACCACTGACATTTAAAAGTGTGGATGTTAAAATTCCTCAATTTAAAATGTTCCCGGCATAGCCATGACATGCACTGATTTGGACTGTTTTTGTTTATGGATATAAAAAAAACTGAGATAAAAATATTCTAGCTCTTCTATGGGGTTTAACAGTATGATGACTGTTTCTGAGCAGAAAGAATAAACAAACCTGCACAAAAGCTATGCAAAATTCTAGCCAAAATCCTAAAAATAGCACATAACTGCTGCCCAGTTTCACTTACAGGTGTCACTTTTAAATGCACCACAAAATCCATCAAACAAACTGAAAAAGATAGGGTGTAAAAGTGCAACACGCTGAATACAATCTTACCGTTCTCAGAGGCCACTCTAAGCAGTTTCCCATACCAAAGGAGAACAGAGGCACTAAAAAGGAGCATGGGGACTTTTTCTCCAGTGAGTTTGCAGTTTGGGTTGTGAGAGGAGCGCAAACTCTGGTTTCAGCAAGACCCATGAAGACTGGGGTGCTAACCTGTGCCTACAGCTGAATCAAAAACACTGAGGTGCTGCACTAAATGAATGTAGCAATAGTTCCAAGGGCACGGGAAGAATGAGGGAGAGTGAGAGCGACAGGGGGGGGGAGAGGAGAAATAAGAGTGAGGGTGAGAAGCTAAATGAGAGAGGGAAGTGGACCAAGGAAGAAATGCCTATTAAAGGAAACAGGACGTCTCGGAGATATTTCACCCAACTGTTACACCGACCAAACTGTTGGATATTCTTCAAGCGACGCAGACAGTTGGGCACAGATTTACACTCTAAGTATGACCATAAATATGAGAAATGGGACAAGAGCTTGAAGCTTCTCTGCAGACAAATTCACCCTCAGCATTAACAAATGTGCAGCTGACAGGTAACCTTTTGCATCAAGGTCGTGCACATTTTGTGAGGTGCTTGCTCTTTCTGTGAAAATCTCTACCAGGCAAGTTTACAAGAACATTCTGTAATGACCTACTTCCAGTCTTTCTGTCTTCCTCACCTGCACTCTCCAGCTCTAAAATAATTTGTCCATTTGCAAGCCGTGAGACTGCATTTGAATCACACTTTATATTTTCTGCACGTGCCTTTGTTTTTCCTGCCTCCACCCCCACACTTCACACACATCCTCCTCTGCCCTCTGCAGGCAAAGACAAGGTCACTCTGACCTCCAGCAGCCACATGGCATCAAAGGAAACACATACAAATACAGCGTATCTGTTGCAGGGGAATTTTATAGAAAAATATTTTTCACTGCATAGAAAATTAATGAGGAGAAGAATTCAAACTATTTTTTTTCACTGGCTACCATCTGCTCACGTGTATTTCCGTTCTGGCTTGTCAAGCCACTACCTAAGGCCAGAACGGTGAAATCCTATTTACTTTGGATGCATTGTTCAGACAAAATGCCAAAGGCAGCGTTTGTATCTCTCAAACTGTGCGTTACATTTCTGCCCGTCATTGAACTCCTCACCATCTACAGTAGCTGTCTCATCAAAGACCTTTTTCAGGTCACGCTAATGTTTTCACAGAACTGCTCACAGACTGACTCATGGGTTATTTGTAGAGATGGCTTTTATACTATAAGTACTAGAAGATGTTTCTCTTGAAGCCACAAAGGATGATCTCCGTGTTCCCATACTGAGCCTATTTTATGACTTCTTATTTCAGCACTGCATGCAAATCATCTTCCGATTCAGGATCTGACTAAAACCCAAACGACGTACATAGACACAAATAAACTCTTTGGAAGAGTCTGAGAAAATGCCTTCAATAAATAACATCTTATCAGGAGTTTACACAGCACGCTGGAGCTTTGTGGGGATTTCCAGTGTAAAACTAAAGCTGGCTGCTTTCACAGAGCCTAAATTATGCAAAATGGCAGCACTGATATGAATCCGAGCACATTAAATTGAACTCCTTTTCTTCTGTATAAATAGATTTGTGGCTCAAAATAGAGTCTCCATCACCCGCAGGAACATCAATGCAATTGCCTTCAAACGCAAAACACAATCCCTGCAGTGACTGAGTGATGCAAGGACATGAATATACAAGTATATTTTTTGCATCTGACCAAACACACATTAACACATCAGAGATTTCCACCTCTGTGATACTGGAACATTTCATTTGCCCCCGGCGCATCCACTTCAATAAGAAAGAGCTGCCTGATTGAGAAAGTCTGTAGGAGGTAGTACTGTATTTGAAATTACATAAGAAATGAATGCGTAGAAGGAGCTTTTTTTTTTTTCTCCTCTATAGTCTGTCCAGTAATGACAGTGTTTGCAGACAGCATCACAGAGCATATTAGGGTGTATTGATTGTAGACAGGACGTCAGTGAAGCCTCAGTTAACCACTTCATACCTGTGTGCACTTTTGTAGAGATACCAACAAGGCAGTTTTCAGCAGAGGAGCAGCAGTGAAATGAATGCAGATGATTCTTTCAGATAAAGTACTAGAAATGGATGTTGTGTTATTTAAATCATCCTTTCACAAGCCTTTCAATCTGTCAAACCCATCCAATAGGCCCTACACTTAAGGTGAAAAAGGGATTTAGGTTTGGGATGTCACTGTCACAGCCTGTCAGGGAATCTGCACTTCACTCACCAAAGCTCTCCAAATGAATATTAACCAGCTGACCAAACTGATGTTCTTTATTTGCTGTTCCCTGAAGCCTGTTTCAGGGCCTTACCTGCCCGAAGAGAGAATTGAGGATGGTGCGTAAATTGATATCGGATGCAGAGGAAGCAGCGCTGGACCTCCGAGAGCGACGAGAGGACCTGCTGGACAGCGGGACCAGGGAGCAGGAGGACGGGGATGGACTGCTGACCTGTTCGCCGCTGTTGGCCAAACCTGCGCCCTTATGGCCCCTCGGCTCACAGAGAGGAGCCCTGTCGTCGTTGCTGTCCGACAGAGAGGGCACCCTGGGGACCGGGCGGGAGTGCGTGTGACAGCGACGGGGATGCTCGGGCTCCGGCGGTCCTGCTGCCGGCGGACGGTCCTCTCGGTTGTGCTTTCTGCGGTGGTGGTGTCGATGTGTGGGCTTGGACGTCCTGCAGCGCTCCCTCACACCTCGGCCTGCCTCGCCGTTTGGCTCCGGCGGCGGCACGGGAACTTGGCTGTGAGGAGCATGTGACTTGCACTTGCCCCGAGTGGCTGCATTATTACTACTGTCCTGGCTGCCGACGAGGGACGGATGGCACAGGGGTCTCCGGGCGCTAATGTCGCACTCGGCCGACCAGAAGGACTCCTCGGCTTTGCTGCTGCTGCTGTGGAGTGCAGCGGGACGGTGGTGATGCTGGTGCTGATGCTGATGGTGATGCTGACTTCTCCGGCTCTCTGCTGTATGTTCGGGGAGGTGTGTCGGTCTCTTCGCCGCCGCCGAGGAGGATTTCAGTAAGGAGGTTGTGGAATCAGATTTTGGAAAGGAGGCGCTCATTGCGGCGGATCTGGTGTAGTCTGCCTCGGTGGGTTGCTCATCGACATCACTTGCCGTTGTCTCTCCATTGTCGACACATATTCTCCAGCAGAGCCTGCCCGCGTTAAGTTGAGCTACATTTCACCACCTGATTGCTGTGCGGCGGCGGCGGCGCGGCCGGAGCGCGCACAGACAGCGGGGCACACACGTCGCTGCAGAGCGCGTCACCTTTTCATTGATGTGGATGTTTCTCTGTGGCATCGTGGCAACGACGTGGGTGTTGACGGTAGTAAGACAAACCAATGGTCTGCAAACTTTTTTATGAAAAAGTGACACCTCCAATCAGATTAGGAGCTCAGAACAGACAAGATAATCCACAATAAGAAAAAAAAACATGACACTTCTACAATTCTTATGGATGTCAACACAAGATCCGTAAAGAACAATGGGATTTAAAAAAAAGAAAAAAGAAAAAAAGAAAGAAATAATAAAAGAAGTTTTGTGTCTCTGGTTGCTGTCACTGCTCCCCTACATTTGAATAAAATAGGAGAAATTAAACTATTCAGCACTTTGTCTGGATCCCAGCTGATCAGTCCACACAGCTCGAGATTTATAAGACAGACATTTGCATTTCATCTATGTTTTTATAAATGACTATATAAGTCAGTCAAATCAATGCATGTTGTTCAAATGATCATCCTTGTACTGTGTACCAGTCTGATGTTCAACTTGGTCCGCCTCCAGTATTCTGTTCTCCTTTAAGAGGTCATCTCACACCCTGGTGTAAGTAGCCTAGTAAGCAGTTTGGTAACAATAATTATCTAACTACTGCATAGTCCACTTTAATAATTCAAGAACTCTGACTTTGAAACATAATTTTGTGCCCATAAAACATGCAGCTTATGTAAGGTCTTTTCAGTGCTGTGCCTCAGCCTTATTAACTTGTGCCTCCAACCACCAGAGCTACAGGCCCAAACGTGTAGGACTGCGTATGCCCCTTTAGAGAAGCTTTTAGAGGCAAAGATTTCCTCTGATGTGTGTGGGGAATCCTCCTCTTAGACTGTAGAGAGAGGCAGGGACATTGCAGGACCAAATGTTAACCTGCAGGCTATGTATATATTCTATGAACCCATGAGTAATGATGGCACCAATGTTTTTTATCTGACATTAATTATTACCTCAGATTTTTAGTGCTTCTGGCTTCATATCCTCTGGAGGCACAGCAGGTCTGACAGGAAATAACTGCTGTGATAATGAGAAAGCAGAGCAGCGACAACATCATTGCATTGCTACGCCTCCCTGTGCCACCACTATAAAACTGCATCTGGATGAAAAGCGGTAACACAATTACTCTTGTCTGCCTCTATATTGCTTAAACTGTGCGTATAATCAATACTAGAGTAGAATCTCCACAGAAGACTTAATTCTCCTGGAAAGCTTCCCTCGGCAGAGTGTAGCAGAGTGAACACTGTGAAGTCAGCTTCTGGGTTCAGATCTGTGATGTTTGTGTAAAAGTGAGAATTCTGACACCAGCTGGTTAAATAAGATACTCGACCATTTATTAAATGTACAGAAATACTGTTCAAAATCCACACAAGACTGTGTTAAAGGACAAATCCTTAATCCAAATGTAAACAAAATGGTTGCCCCATCGTACAGTGGAAAGCAAATGCTTCGGGAATGACAGTTTTCATACTCTAAGGTGGATTAACAGCACTCTTGATTTTAAACCTAATTATGGACAGCTCAATGTGAGTGTCAGCGTCATCTGATTCTGTAAACAGCTCATAAACGACCATAGCTTTGTAAACATTAGAACTGAATAGATGGGTATCTTGAATTGCAGTGGACTAGTAAAGCTGCTGAAGATTCGTTTTAGACTGTGCACATATATCCATGAAGTGCTGCTGAAGGGTTGTGGATTTAATAATGGTGCTGCAAAATCACAGGAATTAAAAAAAACAAAACAAAACAAACATCACAGTACAACAGGAGATAGTACTTCAGAAACATTTTACAGAATATACGAATTTAATCTATCAAAATGACTTTATGGTTTTGAAATGGGGTAATGAAATGCAATCACTTTAGCTAGAAATCAAGACAACACAATAGTCAAAGCATTGAAGACAATCATTTCAAAACATCTCAGACCATTCACTTAGTTGTTTTTTTTGCTTTTTTGTTTTTACCTCAACCATATTTACAGAAATACAAACCTGATATCAAATGCGACCAGATTACAAGAGTTTAGTAAATTTACCAAAAACGCTTCATCTCCAGTGTTACAGCACAGGCCGACTCACACAGTTTGACCTAAAAATGTGCTTATCTAACCATGTCTTGTGAAAGCAGGACTGATTCTCAAAGGGGGAGCACAATTAACTACCACACTGGCAGGGTTCATGACATATAGATGTTAGCTGCGTCTGTAAACATTCAAATCATGATCGACATTGGACCTCAGTTACCAAACTACACACGTATAAATCTGATATTGATAGGACAACATTTCTTTGTAGCTATTATAACACTGTTACAGCACTATCTGCAATGCATTTTGTTTAGATATCTGTAGAACAATTGGCAATTTAGTAAGAACGCCGCACAGTGCATCCTGTTGGTAACCCAGCTCAACATTAAATTTAAAGACATATCCTGCTTATTTATTTATCTATTTCACACTAATTGTTCAATTCATGTTTTGATAAGAACCTTTTGCACAATTGACTTTCAATCACTGGAGCAACAATTCCTTTCCTGGATCAATAACTATGCTGTGGCTTTGTATAAATCATAATGTGCATTACAATCACAGTATGTCAACATTCTGCAGGCAGGAGAGTGTCCAGTCATTCATAAAAATGTAAACAGTCTAAAGTTTATCCTATATGTGAAAGTGTTTGTGCAAACTTTCAGACAATGGCGTCTTGATTTTGAATTAAAACTTTTACGAGCGTCTGGATGTGGTGAGTCATATAAAAAGTTGAATTACCAAATTTCTTAGCCCTTGCAGAAATGTATGTTGCATGTCGTCACGCGCCTTTCTTAAAGCCTGGGAATAAGCTGGGGGCTCATGAATGCGAACTCAGTGCCAGGCAGCTGTGGGCAGGGGGCCTTAGCCCACCCAAATGTGCGTCTTAAAGTCCCTCTTCGGTCATTGATTAAACTCCTAAAAACTTGCTTCTGCGTACCAAAGTCACATATTTAGATGCTTTTTTTCACTCAAATAATTCTCTCCTGTCTTAAAATGGCTTAGATGAACCTCTACACGTTGCTTCCTCTACCATCTACGAAATCCGTGCTTCTCTCTCCACCCTGCCTTTCGCCACTCTATGCATCTCAAGCACACCAGCTCACCCACAACTCTGCTCAAACACTCTGAAACTGGTCTAAACTACACAATAACAAGTTGTAATACTGGAGTAATTCAGCCATACATCTCAGAACCGGGAAGTGGTTCTGAAAAAGGACACGGATACAGTAAGCTCCAAGCTTTAGGTTTGTTACATATAAAACCTGGGACTCTAAATCTGCGTTTTTGAGACTGTTATTGGTACACTGCAGCTTTAAGGTGGGAATGGTGTTGATTGCTTGTTTTGCTTATGATGTGTCTCACAGCATATAAAAAACACCACAACATGGGCATGTTAGAAAGAGAAAAAAGGATTTTGTTCACAGGGGTCTTTAATAATAAATGAGAGATTTTTTTTCTTCAGCCAATGGAAGGTTGTGCAGAAACTTCTTCTGATTGGATGAGCAAATTACAGCCAACCAGCAAATTTCTGGTTACAAATCTACTTGTCCAACCTCTGGGCTCACCAAAGTTACTCACATATTATTTCTATCAGCCCACTATAACACAACAGGCTACAACTGGCCTTGATTCAGTGTCTCCAGCTCATTTATAGCTAATAGAATAGTTTGGCCTATAGACCCATATATGCTGTGAAGCATAACAGCAGAGGAGTGATACATTATTGTTTGGCTCCCTAAGAGCCACTTAACGTGTCTGTAATACACTTTGCTCTAGATCAGCATACAGTGGTTTAAATAACAACCTAAATAAATACGATATGAGCAGTACATATAATCTTAATAATCACTTCCAGAACTGGCCCCAAACTTAGAGGATGGAAAAATGGAAACGTGAAATAACATATTTGGTGGCAACTGATCGCTGGGCAACATTCTTAGTGTTCAGTCATGGATACACCAGTAAACATTCAGCGATTGAAAATTAAAACAGCGACTTTTAAGCTGAAATGCCACCGGCCATAGTTTTAATACACATGAATGAAATCACGGCATAAACTACTGTGCATCTATTATAGTCTGAAAAGTATGCACTTTAAAGTATGGCTGCATTTTACACAACTGTACAGACAAAAAATGCGATTGATAAAAGAGGCCCAATGTTTGGTCATCTGCTAAGAAGAGTTATGAGTAATACTGTATGAGCCGGAGATTATGTACACAGTGAATGTGAGAGCTGGTCTGGAGGCAGAAAAAAAGAGTTGCTCCCCAATCCTACAGACACTTCCCTAAATGCCATCTGTCTCTTGCTTGCTTGGACATGGTTTCTCACTCACACCTATTTTCCCTCCTTGTCCTCTAAACGGCCCGGAGTAAAAATGTAGTCCAAGGCTTGTCTCTCCGCAGCGGCCACGTTGGGGTGCCACAGGTCCACCATGAAGACCACCCTGGGGCCATCCTCTGCACCGCCTACACACAGAAACAATGCAAGACGGGAAAAATCAAGTTGCGTTGTTTGGCTAAGACCCATATCAGACTCATATAAAAAGGCTATCCATTTTCCTCAGCCAGCTGGATTATACAACTTTTAGGTCAATCCTCTTTCTAGGAATGAACAAACGACACAAGGCAAGAAAAGATTCAACTTTAATCCAGTCTTACCCTCATGGAAAGCCCGGTGGAGGAAGGAGTCATCGAAAAGCAGACAGCTGCCCTCAGACCAGCACTGTGGCTCTCCACCGACGACCAGCTCACAGGAAGGGGGCACTCTGAGACCTGCGAGAGAAAAAAGTCCAGCCATGTGCCATAATAGCTAAATAAATGCATTTGAAAGCATTTTGTGCTGCTATCCATCTCTAAGCTGATATATCTCATACAAATGCACAGTTCTTACAGTGTTCTGTATCAATACAGTTTGCTGTTTTATAGGATCTTACCTTGCTACATAACAATAAACATCCCTATTTATAGCCATCTCACAGAGAACAGATGGAAATAGAATCAAAGCTCAGGTGAAGTAAAAACAATAATTTTTTTTTTCATCATGGGACAATTTAGCCGTGTTCCTCCATGACTCAGGAGGATTTAGCACATCTGTCTAAACACTACAGCTGCTGATTCACCGTGTTGCTCCTCCTCCTCTGTGGTTAAATATGCTTATTACTGAAATCATCTGCTCTTGTGTTGAGTTAAATACACACTGAGCCTCATCAGTTGCAGTTCACTAGACCCTCTTACCCAGGTGGCAGCGCAGCCTGACATTTGTCGGACCGTAATGCTCGGTGATGAGAGCTCCAGGCGTCAGCACAGAGAAGCAGGCGTTTCCGAACACGTTGTTGGCGATGAAGGTGCGCAGCTGGCCCAGCACCCTCCAGGCCCGGGGACATCTCCTGACATTAAGAACCAGAGGGGTGCCTTGGTTGACCAGGTAGTAGGTCCACCACTGCCCACGAGGAGTGCTGTTGGCCTTCCACCCTGGTGGGAGCGAGGAGCCGCTGCGGGCTGGAGGTTGGTGGTAGATGCTCTCAAACTCAGCCAGTAGGGCGGGGAAGCTCTGCTCCAGCAGCTCCACGTCATGTCTCTGCACTTCTCTGGAGAAGAAGGGGGCTGACGGTAGGTCGGGGAGGAAGAAGACCTCTGGCCGCTGGATGGTCGGTCGGCTGTTGAGGTAGCGGCCTTGGTCTCGGACTCCTTTGTGCACCCTGCCCATACCTGACCAGGTGTAGCGCTTGGCATAATCCTGCAGGCTGTGATAGAGCCTCTGGTTCAGACTCTCCCCAGCGCTCGTACAGCGGAAGCACTCTGACGACTGGCAGAAAGCGAAGCCGTTCTGCTCCTCCAGCAGAGACCCATGCTTCCCTTTGCCCCTGCCGCGACAGTCTGAACTCATGAAACCCCCCACCACCCCTCCGATCCGGCCTGGCCCGGCCAGGTACCTTCCGCGCAGGGGGCTTGAGCCGTGCTCCCGTCCCACCCTGTAACAATACCACATAAACAGCAGCAGCACACACATGGCTATGGCAAAAGCACAGATCTCACACTCCCTTATAGACTGCATCCCTCCAGCCACCATCTCCCTCACGCTCTCTAGTGACCACTCCATTTCGGCTCGTCTCCGGACTGCTGAATCGGTCTGAACTATAAAGTGCTGATGAAGGATCAGTTAACGCGTCTTTTCTCGATTGAAAGGGGCCTTAAACCACACGCAGGGTGTCAGTGTCTCTGGTGTCAAGCAGCTCTTATCGCCCCCCCCGATGTAAACAGTCTGCTGATTTGATCTGACACACTCGCTCTTCAGCCCTAACATTTCAGCTCTCTGCAACGAGGGAAGGTTTCTACTTGCATGATGTCTGGCTGTGCGGTATTTGTGTTTCTCCCTCTCTTGTTCTTGCAGACAAATGCAGACAGACACCGCGCCGTAGGGTTATCTGCTCCCTGAAAAACAAAGACAGAAGAAAGGGGGATAGGAAGAGAAGAGGATGTTGGAACTATTGTTAGGAGGATGCTGTGATTGATATAAATACTCCAAACTCTGATGCAGGTATCATTACACTTTGCTGTGTGTCTGTGAAACACATCTCCCTCTTTAGAGTTGAACAGTAAATCCCCCCCCCCATCCTGTATTCACCACATGCAAAAACACACCTGCTGAAACTCACCCACACACTTCAAAATGACTGCACCCCATGAACACACACACATACTGGGAACACAATTTGGAATCCAGCTCCACACACACACACACACACACACACACACACACACACACACACACCCCTGTACTGCACTGTATAAAATCATGAGTCATGGGCACATTGCTGCATTTAACACAAGTCTCTCCCTTTTTGTAATATTTTTTGCGCACCACGCACACGCACACACACACGCGCGCATACTGAGCAGTGAATTATGTAAACGTAAACAGTGTTGATACCCACCCACATTCATAATTGGCATTCATAGGTTGCTCAGCAGGAGCTGCATAAACGGATCCTCAAGGGGAGGGAGGGGGGAGAGCAGTAGTCTGTGGAATCGTATGCTGTCTAAGTATATATATATATATATATATATATATATATATATATATATATATATACACACACACACAAAGGCTGGATTACATGAGTGTGATTATATAATGGTAATGGACCGGCAGCCAAAACGCGACGAGTGCAATGCGTCAACTGTGATCAGAACTCCACGATGCGCTCTCACCAAAAATGGTCGGGTAATCCTGCTCCAATAGATCCTCCCCTACATCCTGTCTGACAGCATCAAGACGCCCCCACATCTCTCTCTTCAAGCCCCCTCCAACAGGCTCCCACTGCTTTCAGGACATACTGACCACCAAAACCCAACAAGAAGCCATGTAAAACACACACACCCTGCCTCATTCCTCCAAACACTCCACCGCTCCCCGTGTAATCTGACCACCAGAGCCAACCAGGGCCAAGCTGCCACACCAACTGATGAACCAACATATCGATGAGCTGCACCCGTTCAATAAGCCTTCGGTAAACAAGCAGCGAAGATGATTTTTTCCCCCCCTTTTCCTGAAGCTACGTGGATGTTTTGTTTTGCGCTGGTTTCGTGCACAGGTTTGCGTCCATACCTACTCAACATTCATGACTGTGGCCAGTGGAGAGGAGAGGCGCACAGGTGTTTCTCCAGGCGAAGCTGCGCACCACTGCAGTGCACAAGGTAGACGGATATCACTCGGCAACATCATAGGAAGGAGCTCCAAAATGCACAAAAGAAGTCCTAACTGGGGACGGACAGCCGTCCTGCAACAGAGGGGGGAGGAAAAAAATGAAGAGCTGTCCTACCGACGGCTGGACTCCCTGTCTGGCTGTCTGTGCCGGACAGCAGCGGCGGATAGGCTTAAGATAATATTGATGTAAATACTGAAGCTCCAGCAGAGAGAAGCCACCCAGCGTCAAGCCAGCGGAGGAATGAGCGACAGTAGTTCCAGTGGTGCCTTTCAAAATAAACGTCCCTGTGAGGCGGTGGAAAAAAAATCGATTGTAATTAGCAAAAAAAAAAAAAAAAAAAAGCACCACAAGTCCAAACTCCTCCCATGTGCGTGCAAGTCAGTGGTGCAACGATTTAGCTGTAAGTCAGTGCAGTTTCATTTTGATATTGGTTGAAAGGGTCCACTGAGAATCTTGGGGTGGCACAGAAAAGTAAAAGGTATGACTGAATTCTATCGTGCTGTCGTAATTCAGAAATTGGTTGAAAATTGTCAGGCAGACATTGTTCTATGATGCATCCACACACACAGAAATGTCACTACTGCAAATATCCTGGTATGAAATGTAAGATCTTCCTAATAGAAAACAACATCAGAAAATCTAGTACGACAGAAATATAATCTGACTTCAGTAAATGGATGACACTGTTACAGTAAAATAATTCCCAGCTGTAATAAAGCTCAGACTTCAGCTGTGTAAGAAATTATGTTAACCTTAGTTGATAAACTGTGGCTCTGAGTGTGACAGGCCACTAGTCTGAGGTGTAGAAAAGTGCACAGTATTATTCACTGTTAGATCCTGATCCATGTCAGCTATCATCTACAATTATAGATAACTGATGAGGTCACTACTATGTTGAATAAATCCCCACAGCTATCTCTCTTTGGAGACACTCCTGTGGCTCCTGCTGTTGTCTGATGCTGCAGGGGTTTAATGAACTCAGAGGAAAAGACTCCCACAAACAGCTGCAAGCAACAAACCCAACTTCAGCTCCTGTTAACATTTTGAGGTCTGTGTGCGTTTCTGTCAACTAAAGGCACAAACTGCATCATTTGTGCACTCTGTGATGTTCGTGGAGGTGACATATAGCTGGCTGCTGCTATGAGCATGCCTTACAGGCATTAATACTGCTTCTACTTGCACTGGGCAACATCAGAGTTTCAGTAAATAAACTTGACTTATCAAATCTGTGGTGGCCACTGACATTTCAGGGGTGGTTTGCCCCCCTTGACCCATTGGAAATGTCTCTGATCAGTTAAAAAAAAAAAAATTGTCTGCCAGTTTAATGAACATAACATACTAAATTGGAAAACAAAACCAAAAAAAAGGTCAAAATTCAAAGTGGAGGTGGCCTGACTTTTAGTCCTGTGGGCCAAGCTACAACCATGTTGAATTCTATTATTCGGTTTTTCTGTTTTGTGACAAATATAGATATTTGTCCCAAAACTCAAGCTTCAAATCTCTTCCTACTGTCAGAGGTGACATTCTAACCAGCCACTTTGTTCACAGGCTAAATAGCAGGTTACTCTCCGTGACAAGTACACTGACCTTTATGCGTAAAATCGTTAGTACTTACCCTCAGTGTCCTTGTTTATATGTAGCTATGCCAATAGAACCAACATAAATCTGTTCAAGTTTGTCAGAACCCAATGCATCACCAATAGTTTGCTTCCTGTTTTTCAAAAAGCCTTGAGTTGCAGATTTAGGCTCAAGTCTTGTTGATCCTGCTGTCTGAACGATACTGCTGCTCTGACAGCGTTGATTTATTAGTATTGATATATTCTATTGATCATTTCCCAAAATGAGAAGAAGTCACTTTTTGCGTATTTTGAGTCAAGCCGGGGTCAGAGCGCAGGGTCAGCCTCACTAAGGCTCCCCCGGAGCAGGTAGGGTTCAGGACCCAGCTCAGGGGCCTGGCAGTGGCAGCTCGGTGGTGCTGGAGCTTTAACTGATCAACGTCTTAAAGCCTTAACCACTGTTCCACCACTACTCATGACTGAAAACATAACGAGTGCCTGCAGAAAAAGTACAGTAACCAGCAAAAATGAAACTACTATTGACATTTTTTTTGACATTTACTATTTGACATTTTAAGCTTTTGCAAGAACCTTTAGGTAGTCTGAATTCTGGTTTTACTGTAACAATTCAACTGAGAACTTTTAAAGCAATATTTTCTGCTTTAAGGAAGGATAATAGATCAGAATAACTTGGTATTGTTTACCTGAAAAACCTGAAAAAAAAGATTTTGAGAATGTATGAATTATTCTGTCTTTTGTCAAGCAATATGCAAAAATAATCATCTTCTGAAATGCAAGTATTTAATTCCTATTAGTTATATAAGATATTAAATTAGTTTTAACATTTTATCTGTTTGCTGGATAAAAATAGCAACTGGATAACATCAGCTTGGACACTTGGAATCATTCACAATTCTGACAAGTTATAAAAAATTACTTAATTAACTAGAAAAACACTCAGAGAGCACAGATCTCCTCCAAGCAGCTCATTTCCACCACATTGTGATTTCCAGCCAATGCTAAAGTCCTGCATTCATTTTATCTACACTAATACATTAATGGATAAGCAAAACATACCTTTAGCATTTGAATTAACATTGATATCATTAATAACAAGCTGACGGAGTGATGAACGGTTGTTCTGTACTCTCAAATATTTTGTACACTTATGTTATTTCTGCAGTTACTTCCTGGTTTTTAAGCTGTTAGCTAACGCTATGCTAGGTTGGCATAACTACAGCCATGTTATTGATAACATAAACAGACGGGCTGTGTCCGAAATCACCCACTCATTCCCTACTCCCTACTCCCTATATAGTGATCACTATATAGTGCACTATGTAGTGCACTCTATAGTGAGCACCTCGGCAAAGTAACATTTCGGACACTACTTGAGCTATTAATTATATCGCTTGCTAGCCGCGATTTGTGCCACAACAGCATAGTACAAACACATCAAATTCACAGTTTTTTGCATAGCTAAGAAATCAAATTAAATCAAATTTATTGTCATTTTGCTGTCCATACCAGATGAGAGAGCGTTTCTTCAAGATCCAGTAACTTAAAGCAATTTAAATAAAGTGATCTAGTATGTCCAAATCACAACTGAGCGCCGCAATTTTAGCAACGTTCACTATCCTGATGTTCAGCAAATTCTCCCGGCTCTAAGTTTTGCAGAATGAACATCTGGGATAGACAAGACACTCAAAACGTTCACTCTCGCTGTCTCCTGAAGGGCCAGCCATCTCATCTAACCCATCTAAGAAATGGGTAAAATTAAATTTAACAAAACAAACGGGAATTGTTCACGCTCTTGTTTGTCTAGTTTCCATTTCCTTTCGCGCAATGCATACGGTCCATATTGCTTGGCTAGTGACCATTGACTGTACACTACTTTTCAAGGTGCATTGTGGGATATTTTGAGTGCACTATGTAGGGTGTAACATTTGTAACTTAACATTTGGACACCCCTACAAAATGGCCTACACCCTACATAGTGCACTATATTGGGCATAGGCAGTGATTTCAGACACATAGCAGAGATATAGTTGCCTCTGCTAGCCATGATATGACATTTTTGAAACAGTGACCTTTGACCTTGAACTGAATTATTTTTGCACTAATTGACCCCAAAATCTAATCATTCTAAGGAGAGGCCATTCCTTGCTCACCTGGAAAATATCAACTTGTTAGAGACGCACACACACACAGACAGATGGGACTGATTACTCTAGCAAAATATACATAACAAAATAATTACCCAATTGAATTAGTTAATAAGGTAATGGATTAATTGATAATAAAAAATACCTGAAGCTGCAGCACCACTAAAAGCCTTGACATCATGTTTCCAAGCGCGTTGATCAATGCTTTAACTTTGAAGGTGACAGTACCTTACTTCCTGTTTCGGTCTAGTGACTCTCTTGAATTCTTGACTTGACTGATCTGAGCTCTTCCGCATGTCTCATGGCTCGCCCATCGACTACCGTTTGACACAACTGCAGACAGCATTTCCCAAGATGCATTGCAGCTCTCCTGGATTTCACCCACAGAGCAGCAGCTTGATGGAGATCGTTTGTGGCAGCAGCAGAGCCAGCAACTTTCCCTAGAAGCGTCCAACTGAAGATCTCACTGCTGAAGATCCACCATCCATTCTCTGGCAGCAAAACCTGCAACTGGAGCCTCATAATTTTACAGGAGCATCACTTTTTATACAGAAAATATAACAACACAGCGTATATATCACAATACAGTACTGGATGTGGGCTGGTTTTGTATTTGTTCAACACCAGTAAAGTTTCCTTAATAATTAAAGTTCATATAACCTAACTGGAGAGGCTATGTATTTTTATTTTTAATTTTTATTTATTTATTTATTTATTTATTTATTTATTTATTTTTTACATTTTTTGAGCAAAGAAACTAATCCAGAGTGCTCAACAATTCAAACAAGTATAGTAAAAGTGACACAAAAGCATAAAATAGGAGAAACAGTCCAAGGCACCCTTCTGGCAAAAAAAGTTAAAAAGCCTTCATTCAGGAGGTTCCTGAGTCATGATAAAAACATAGACAATTATTGTATTTGCTAAAATGAATCTGAGATACTATCAGTACACAACCTGTGGATTACAGCCTGAGGAGGCTGTTTGTGTTGGTTATATTCAAGGTTTCTTTATTTTTATTTTTTTAAAACTTGTTTTGTGTAGAACTTTATCATGAAAAGCCGTCTGACGAAAAGCTTTTAAACTTCCTCCCCCCTCAGAGATTGCCTTGGATCTGTTTTGCTTTTTTAAAAAAAAAAACTTCCTTTTAGCCCTAAAAACAACCAATACAAACAAACAAACTGACTACAGCTGTGGTGAATCAAGGGAAATGCTTGTACATCATTAGGGCCCACACTGAACCATGTCAATAAACAATTCTGAAAAATTCAAAAGTAACATTTTTTGAAAGCAGAAAATTCAAATATAGCCTTTCTTTGTAACTGCCTCAGTTTTAGTTGTGTTTGCTGGAGCTTTGCTTTGCAAATCTGGAACATTTTAATGATGTAAAAACCTGTTTTCCCAGCCAGGGTATCCAAATAATTCAGAAAATTTCCTGAACAACTTCCAGTAAACACCGTCACCTTTAACCTTTAATTTGCATTTCTCTATTAATAGAAAGACCCAGGAAAGGTGGGCTACTTTAATCCTTTCCTTTCGTTTATTGCCCATTGGGGTTCTTGATGAGTGGAGTGTTTCTGCACTGAGTTTGGACTTTAACTCCGTTGTGAGAGATACCGATGCAGGTCTGGAAGGAGCTGAAACCTCCTTAGTGAGTATTTAACGACCTACAGCCTCCACCTTTATTCCTCCTCCTCCTCCTCTTCGTGCGCTCCGGGCGGGGGGTGGAGCCAGGCTCTGCGTTGACCAGCCCTCCTGACGGGGCCAACGGTCATTCATAGAGTCAGACAAGGTGTAACATTTAGAGGAGCTAAAACCATCATGATCCGAGGAAACGATCCCCAGAAGAGGCTCTAAGAAGAAAACAGCCATGGCGAGGTCAAAGGCGAGGGTGTACACTTGTTGCGCGCTGCTGCTGCTCTGCTTGGTTGCTATAATTGTGTGTATCGCTGTATTTGTGAGGCGCAAGTGCCCAGGTGACACATTCTCAAACGCTGCTGTGGCCGCAGATTCTGGAAAATGTTCAGAGATTGGACGGTGAGTCACTTCACTTCACTTCTGATCGTGTTCTGGACAGTAAGGGTCTTACGGTGGCGCAAAAGACGCACAGTTGGCTCACATGTCTAGTCTGTATGAGAAAACGTCAGTGACTGTTCTAGTTAATTCATACTGATAAAGTATTTCATTTTTGTAAGACGTACCTTCAATCCTAGCTGGTTGACAAAGTTTGATTTACTTCAACACGTGTTTTTCTGAGTGTGGTACTTGGATTTACGGTCTGCTCAGGGACACAGTTTGGTGTTTTGGTGAGGTTAAGAAGCCTGTTGTGGCTCATAGAAAAAACAACAACAAAAAAAAACTGTACCCAACTATCTTTAAGGATCTAGTCAGCCTGCATAATCACGTTTAGTTCATATATATTTTCTCCACATTAACCTACAAAACTATCCATACAATAATCTCGGGATTTATTCTAGCAAACATGCTCCAGTGAAACAACTTCACTCCTACATAACGATTCATACAGAACAATGCTGAATTACACAACGGGGCACCAGTCTATGCAAAACAAATTCATAATTTCCCTACTTGGAAGCAAGAACAGACTGACATTGAAAGTGATGCGTAACATCTTCTAGAGACATCCTTCAGAGAGGAGGCTCAGCGGTAGATGGCGCCATTGCTGCGCTCCTGTGCACCTCCATCATGAACCCGCAGAGTATGGGCATCGGTGGGGGGTCCATATTCACAGTGATGGACAGCTCTGGTAACAGCACACATTCATTCAGCCCTCTCTAATGCAGCAAAAAACTAACGAGCGTCCTGCTGAGAAGGCAAGGTTAATTGATAATGTCTGGTCTTTTTTTTTTTTTTAAAGGCAAAGTGAAAGTCATCAACTCCAGAGAGACTGCACCCACAAAGATGAAGCCTGACCTGCTGAAGTTATGCGGCCAACCCTTACAGATGACAGAAGAAGGTAGTCTGCTCTGCTTCCTCTGACACAAGAAGTCATAAACCCCCCTCCTCTGCGTCTGTTCATTTCTACTTCTGAAGAGAGTTTTTCTTGTTTTTCTTGCTCTGGTTGTTGGCATGTGTTTGCTTGCAGGCTAGTATTTACTACATAAGGACGCAATGTTCCTGTTTTTAAGTTTGTCTGGTTTCTCATGACAAGAGTCGCACATCCTGTCGATCCTTACTTGGAGATGTCTCGTTTTTGTTATGATTCCTACACAGTCTGATTACATACGAGGGGCCCAACAGTTCCAACACGTGAACTAGGTCTCGAGCTGAGTGATGAGCCAAAATCACAGGCACAGTAGAACAGGACAAGCATTAGTGTTGTTGCCACATGTGTACATGTAAGCCTGTTTAATTATTACAAAATCCTTTGTTTGGGAAGAAAATTAGTGAAATTAAAATTTACAGAGCAGAGCTAAAAACATAATCTTGTAAAAATAAATAAAGATATATTTGAATCTAAAATCTTAATCAGTTACATAGCGACAAACAACAGCTGCCTGAAACGGTATACAATAGTAATGTGCAGTATCACTTCAGTATCAAACGATCCAAAACTGTAACACCTTACAGTTACTGCATTACTTTTAGGTAAAGCAGTTGTGTATTTACGCTCATGTAAAATGAATATATGACAGTTTAGATTGACTACATTTTAAATACAGGTCCCACAGTAGGAAAAGTACCCTTCATTGCTGAGATTCACATTTGTTTGTCTTTTTCCACTTACATTCATTTTTGTCAACGGATTTAATCCTCCTCAGCATGGAAGATAACAGTGCTGAGCTAATTTCTGGAGAGTTTTACTATTCTTTGGAGTCGAATGTTATTTTTTTCTTTTGTAGTTGCTGTTTGCTGGGTGGGTTGTGTTAAAACAACATTCGTCTTTAAAATACAACAAAGGTGTTCTATTCCATTCAAGTCAGGCAACATGCTTGGCCAGACCACAGCTTCACTTCCTCTTCCTAGGAACTCGAGTGTGACTATGGCAGTGTGGTTTGGATTGTTATCATGATGGAATATTCCTCTTCTGCTGAAATTCTGCACACTGGGAGTCATGTGGTCGGCCAGTAGTTTGGCTTAGATATTTATGGATTCCATCTGTAGATGTTATCTCTCCAACACCTTTTGCACTCACACAGCCCCATATGATCACACTCTCACCTCTGTGCTTCACTGTCAGGACCATGCATTCACTGTGGTAATCCTGGCCAGGTTCACACCTAACACACTGGAACCTGTTTGAAGGGAAGAAACTTGTTTTGGTCTCACTTGACCAAAGAATGTGCTTTGAATATTCATCAGGTGTCTCTTCATGTTCTTTAGCAAAGTTTTATCTTGCAATCAATGGCTTCATTCTTAGACGCTTCCCACATGGAAACTCTTCCATTGATAGTGCCAAGTCTAAAACATTTGTTGGCTAACTTCTTTTTTAGTTGTAACTGTGTGTTGACTGATTTGTAGTTGGTGACTGATCTTTCTGTATCCTTTTCCAACATATTGAAGTCTCACAATCAGATTTCTTAACTCTTTTTTCATGTGGAGCCATGATGTAGCCAATGCAGATCAACAAAGTCCACAAGCCCATACCTGAGAAAGTTCTGATGTTCACAGCTCATTTTTGACCATGTTAATTCGATTTGGCTAATCACAAGTGTACTTTATGTTGTTTTAGTGATCAGAGGTGTGTTCATTATTGTTGCATAGAGTATTTACTTTGGGGCCTTATTTTCAATATAGTCTTTCTAAAGTATCTGTTTTTCATTGTTCAAAAAATAATCAAAACACTCAACTGTTGGTTGTGGGAATCTGGATGAGCCATAGCAAAAGCAATCAAAGTATTTGTCTTTTGTATTTTCTTGAAGAATCAAAGGAGTAATAAAGAATAATAAAGAAGAGAAATGCAGGGTGAATATTTCAGCTGAAGGGCAGAGGTCCGACACCAGGCTCGTGTTCAGAGGTCCGACCAAGATGCAAACTTATACTAGCATCTGTCCTTCAAACAGTACAGCTTGACCCTTATCATGCAGATAACGGACACTCATCAGCCGAGGAGTCTTCGTCTCTATTATCAGATCTTGGCCCTTGACAAGGGACACAACAAAATCACATGTAACAACAAAATATTACCAAAACATGATCAGGTCTATTGCCATGTGCTGTGATTAACAGGCATGCCAAGGTTTGTTTGTGATCATCACATAACAAATACAATTCATCCAAGTCAAAATTAACTTAGAAATAAAGCAATTATTGAGAAGCGATACAGTTTTTATATTTTACATGTAGGTTATATATTGCAAATGGAGTGTACTCACTTTTATTGTAAAAAAGGAAAAGGTGCTATTTGGAAATCTGACTGAAAAGAATTCAATTCAGTTTTTTTTCACGGTGGATAAAGAAAAATCAACAATCTCAAATGAGGATCTTGAAGTCAGCATCTCTTTATTCAGCAGAATCTCAGTGTTTATATTCTTCTGATCATGCTACCTATGGAGGGACAAGGTCGCTCTGTTCTGGATAGTTTGTCTTTGTCTTGTCATTGGGGGATTGCGTAATGTTTGTCTTTCACCTTGCGTAGGACTGTATCACTAATTTTCCCCTTATCCGTCACAGAGATGTAACTCTAAGAACTCTGTCACATTCTCACAGACTATTAGTCACCTGGATAAACAGAAAAAACAATCCTCATTATTTTTCCATCATTTGTATAACACCAAATCATGACATGTCTTCTCAGGAGATTTTACATTACCCCACAGTATGAGACGTTTGTGGAAATACTCAGAGCGTAATGAAGAGAGCTTAACACATTTATTAGACCACCACCAATGTAAGGTTTATACCACAGCTTCCCTAAATAAACAGCATTAGTAATGATCAAATTCATATCTTATGTTTCTGCAATGGTCAATACACCAGTATTTAGAAGCTCTTTAACCAAAATTATATTTTTAATGCTAAAATATAATAATTATTGGTATCCATTAATTTTCAGATTTACTATTTTGCAAAAAAAACCCAAAAGTATAGTACACTATTATTTATTAATTAA